TTTGTTCACGATACTGAACAACCTCATTTTCGTCCAGATATACAAGTTGCACGCCTTTCAGTTTCTTTGATAGAACGCTCACCATTGTCCTGGCCGTCTGAATTGTGCTTACTGAACGTTCTCTCAGGTTGTTCAGCGTGGCCTGGTGCTTCACGAGTCCGCCAACTCCGTCACATGCATTTTTCCCATGTCCAGATGCAGAAAATAACCACTGGGCTTGTGGGCAATCGTCCTTTGCAAATTGGTGAAGCTGGTAGCGATTCTTGAAATGACTGGCGGCGCCGTCACTTACGTACGTCACGTACGAGTATACCGCAACGTTGTCTTCAACCCACTCCTTCACTTTTTCTAGAGCCAAGCAAGCGTGAGCGGCGTCGTGACACAGGTCCTCACTGATGATGGCAAAGCTGTTTGTAGATTTTCTTGTCGTCACTACACATGTAAATATCGAAACTTGTTTTTTTTTTTTTCCAGTGATATGCTTGCACTTCGTCAGGAAGCACGATGGTCCAGTTTTCAGCAAAGTCAAAATGAAAGACAATGCTCCCGCGTTGCATGCACTGTTTTTCATCGTAGATCGCTTTACCTTGCGTTTGCCGGATATGGTTGTGAAGTACCCAACTTCCAACCGTCACTTGGATGACTTTTAGGAAAGTCTCAGGTTCCAAAGTTTTCTTCACAAGGTCCCCGGACTCCCATGTTGCAAGCACAATCTCTTCATCCTCCGGGATATCAAGTTCCTGGAGTGTAAGAAACTGGCCTTTTGGGCAGTGATCACAGTCTCCTTGAAGGCACAGTTCTGTTGCTGGGTCGCACAGAAATGCCGAGTTCATTTCACCAGTGTTGAATGTTGAGCCTGTAACGTTCTCTAGAGCGGCAATACAAAGATAATAATTGGCGCAGCGCACACAACCGCACACTTCCTGGTGTGGAATACATTGGACCCATCTAGGGCGCAACGAATAAAATTTCGTTAGCCCAACGCCGGAATCGGGATGCTTGTCTTTGTATATACGGAAGGCCTCTCGTATTGAGCGTGTCATGAAGCGCTTTGGCACAAACGTTTTCTCTCCGTTGAGCATGACAGAGATGACGTCCTTCTGGTTGGGACTTTGGCGCGAACATTGTAGCTCGTCTTTCGTGGAGTACTCTAGGGCAGCAGACAGGTTCTCAGGGCTCACCTTGCACCTCGTGTAAAGATCCGGCTCATACCACACGCCATGCTTTTCCTTGAGTTTTTGGGATTTACTGATGAGGTACATTGAGGCCTGTGGAATCATCTTTTGAACCTCATTCTTCGTCAGTGTTGACGGCAGGAGTGTAAGCAGTTGACAACGTTCCCGGAGAGAGGTGGCAGTTTCAAAGGCCTGCCGAAAGTTGTCCACCCACTCAGTGCATGTGAAGCATGTTGGTTCGGACGACCCCGATGGTGCGTCCCTGTCGTACGCAATACGTAGCCTTGAGCGTATATTCTTGACAGCAACCTGCTCCAGTTCTGTCTGCTTTCTCTTGACATAGGCAGGCCTGTCCCGACTTCTTACGACGCTTGGTTGTCTCAGCGGCGACACATCTGTAGGTAGTATGCTGCGATTTAGATCTTCAATTGCTTCTTCAGCTGGCACAAATATGTCAGGGCACTGCTCTGAGCTTCGCATCGAGATCTCCTTAGTGATGTGCATGAAGCAATGGTAGCACAGGTAGTCCGTCGCACTCACTTTGGTGGAACAGTCAGGCGGAAGAATTTGCTTCAACGAGTTTAGGTCCAACTCGCCAACACTTCGAAAATTCCGCTGCTTTGGTATAGTCTTTTTGTGTTTGCGAAAGTAATCTGCACAAAACACTCGTTCGGAGCTCCAGGACGTCTTCATAATGTATGCATAAATAATAGAAATAAAACCCCAACTGATGGCATATAATTGCCAAGTGAAAGAACTACTGGGTGCACAAGTGACAAGTCTGAGGCTGAGGAGCTCACTCACTGCCAAACGTACATTTGAAAAGAGAGGTCACAACTGAGGCTGTCGACAAAGCTTGATCCACGTCAAAGGAAGAAAGAGGGAAAGTCTCCAGACAAAAAATTGTGGTCAGCGGCCTTCGAAAAAGACTTTCCGGAATCGCACTGTCGTCCCTCCACGCGCTGATATGAAAGCACCCGAGCTTCTACCACGTGGTTCATGACACAGCCTGAGCCATGTCGGCGACCGGTTCGCGAGGGGTTGGCGGTGGGGTTACGTTGATGGTCACTTGGATTAGCCCTTGCTGTACTGAGCTATCGCCTGCAGTGCCTTATCGCCGGCTAATGTCAACAACGAGAACACACACACCCTGTCTACACCAAAACTACAAGCGTTCACCGCACACGCGTCGCCGCCGCTTTTAAGCTTTTGTGAAATTGCTTTCTTTTGCCGCGGAGAACCGCCTTATCTTAACTACGCGCCTGAAATCCTTCCAGGCGGGCGTACACAATATCAAGCGTTTCGAGAAATGCCCGTGGAGTAGAACTATGGGAAAATTCGGAGCCCGCGATGTCGATATCGTCGCCGTTGTGTGAGTACGCTGTCGCGTACTGCAGTCCCCCGTTGGGGGGGGGGGGGGGGGGGGGGGGGGGGGCGGGGGCGGGCGGCGGGGCGGTCTTACTACGATAACATGGCGACAGCGTTTACACTCTATGTATTTACGCGAGGCTCGAGTATTTGGGGATAATGCTGCCGGTTGGTGTGCCCCTTTGTGCCTGATATTATCGCCCGTGACGCCAGCGAGTGAGATGGCGACAGGCATGACTGCTCAGTAAACAGGCGTCGGCGGCCATGTTTTGCTGGTTGAAGCGAACCCCCTTGTCCTTGACAGCGAGCGGGGAAATGCGAAAAAAAGATTGTATCGGCCGTTTTGCCAGAACTAGCGACGAGTGTCGTCTGCGGTTTCCGGCAACTATTTTGCCATAATCGTGAGCTTAGCGAGGAAATGATTTTTGCTAGCCACAGAACACTACCACGCAGAAAGGGAATGCTTGAACATGTTTTTGTTCTGGATATATATCAGGGATATATATGAGAGAGAGAGAGAGAGAGAGAGAGAGATGAAGGTAGAGCGGAAGAGGGAATAGCATATAGTGTCGCAGGAGAATAAAGTAAACAAAGTTCCTTGTGGCCGATGGCTGCATGATCTTTTCTCGGATCACTAGTCCGTAATATGATACCTCTTTGTACACAGTAGTTTCTCCTTAATTTAAGTGTGTGAACGATTTCTTTAGTTATCATTGGCCTCATCTGAATAAAAATATATAAAAGATGTGTGTTGGTTTCATGAAACTGGAACTCAGAGTCAGTTCTTGTATAAAACACTGCTAAGTGTAGGCTTTGAAAAAGGACCCTACTTTGGGGAGTTGTATCTTCTTTCTCAATAAAATGATGCAACATGTTTTTAATGGAAATGAATGCCGAAATAGAGTATAACAGGTTACCTAAATTTAAAAAAAATCGAGGGTGGTGTTTTTTTTTTATTCGCATCGGAATTTTTCTTTGTTTGATTTTTTTTCCATGTTTGACTAAATATATCCTAACTATTGTATCACACAGATACCTTAGTTATTTTTTAAATATTAGCTATATATTAGTAGAATAATATCTGCAAATTATATCATAATGATTAAATTATTTCATGAGATACAGACCTCCAAAGTTTGCCATTTGTCGTTCGAGCAGGCATGTTTGTCAATTTTTAGAAAAATAAATAAATTTTAAATAAATATGATTACTTTATATTACAAGCAAGCTATACCCATAGTTTGCGCCTAAAACGTATTACAGTTCTCCTAATGTTATCGCTTTAGTTATTCACTCTCAAACGGGCCCCCTCCATCAGTGCGCGTTAATGCAACTGTCCACCACCTCATGCCTTACGATTTTTCCTGTCCCCAAGTATTTTTTCTAGTCAAAACTAAGTTTGGAATCGTTCATACCAGACACTAGACAATAACATATAAAAACATCAGTTGATTTGAAAATGTCGACCAGCCATCCTTTGGTCGATCTTATCTGAAATCACCCAGCGATCTGTCGGGTTAATTTTATAATCAAACCACAGCTCCAATCAACACTCAATATTTTATTAAAGCTATGATTTGTGTAAGTTAACAAAAATGCGTGGGACCAGCGGTTGTATATGAACCAACACACTAAGATTATGGAAGCTTCCGACTTAGCAATAATTGCTTCGCTGAATTTCTATGCATGTGAAACGATATAACACAACCTTTAGTAAGAAGAAACAACTAAAACATCAAACATTTAATAAGGAGGGTCAAGCTCAGCCGGACACGGGCTTGCGTCGTCGAGATCCATGCTTCTGAAAGCGCGCCCATGGCAGACGACGCACGGCGGTATCCCTGCTTTCGCTTGTTTCCAATTTCGGCCGCACGGGGGCGACGCGGTTCGTTCTCGAGGCGAATAGTGAAGTCTGATGTAGCAATGATATGAGTATAGTGAAGCAATGCCTGTAGGATGCCTATAATACTCACGACGGGCATTTGAAGTATTGGTATAGTGAAGATTCTGGTTTATTGAAGGTATTTCCCTTGAAAGCCGAGTTTACTCTAGAGAGGTTTTACTGTAACGCTTTCTGTATCAATCAAAAGACTCGAGCGATGAAGCACAGGAGACCCCATTTAGGTTCTTTACACCCTTGAGCATGGAAAGGTATTCTGCTGCTCACTTATTTGTTGTTTTCTTTCTGCCAATTTTGTGCGCTGAAAGAGTTGGATACTGGAAACTGTCGGTCTCATTAAAGCGAAACATATTCTGATTTATTATGCCTAACCAAGTCTGTCTTAAGTACCAGAAACCAGAGACCCTAGCCTATTCTTGTCCCCTAAAACAGTTCCCCTTCCTTGAAAGAAGAGTGAGCCTGCAGGCGAGCTGGTTTATACGGAAGTAGGAAGAAGATCTGTCTCTGTGCTCGCATCTGTGCAATCCCTTTAACCTGCTCGGGACGCCCGCCTGCAGGGCTGGGCTACCACAAGGACCTGCAGACGCGGGCGGCCTTCATGGAGGTGCTGACCAAGATCCTGCAGCAGGGCACGGAGTTCGACATGCTGGCCGAAACAGTGCTGGCCGACCGCTTCGAGCAGCTCGTCCAGCTGGTCACCATGATCGGCGACAAGGGCGAGCTGCCCATCGCCATGGCCCTTGCCAGCGTTGTCGTCTCCCCGCAGATGGTGCGTCCATGCTTAACGACCACTTCCTTCTTCCGGCACCCAAGAGGCGACTTCCAAAGGGACTCGAAGCCCCCCAAAAATTCATAAATTTTTTTGTACGATACACTACACTTCATAACGTCGAGGGTCTACCCAAACCTTTTTCTGCTGCAGTTGCGTATTTGTTGAAAAAAAAACAACAGAGCGAAACCGATACCGGAGAATTGGTGTGGAAGCGACCCCACGACAACTCAGTTTCTTTAAAATGATGCTGTTAAAATGTTCCAGTGGTCAGAAAAATGATATTTAATGAGTTTTATTACCATTATTAACGAATATGTGCTCTAGGCAGTCTAAAACTTCAAAAACATTTTGTGCAACATGTCGTCACAATTGTTGGCAGGCCCAAACACCGAATCTTTGACCGCCTGTTCTTGTGCAGAAAACGGATTCCATTTTTAGCTGCCAATATTTTTCTGGGTAATTGGGCCCTCATAAATCATGTTTCAATACAAATGTCGACTTGGCAAGCATAAATCCCTTTATGAAAAGTGAAAGACATTTACAAATCTCTGTAATGCGAAATTAGAGTCCAGCTCTTGAGGGGGACGAGGGAAGAATACGAAAGGGGGGGTACGCCCCTCCTCCTCCTCCATCCCCTCCTCTTTCTTGCTCCTCCAATTCAGTTTCTCTGCTAAATTTAGCGGGGAAAATGACGTCACATGACTTGGTGTCACGTCACCCATGAACAAATTCAGTTTTTCTGCTAGATTTAGCGGGAAAATTGATGTCCTCAGCACCAATTTAATTTCCGGGGAATTGAATTGGTGTTGAAGTCACGTGACATCAATTTTCCCGCTAAATCTAGCGGAGAAACTGAATTTGACCGCTAAATCTAGCAAAGAAACTGAATTTCCCTGCTAAATTTAATGCCATGTCAATTTTCCCAGCAGTGTGTGTTACACCGACGGCGACACCAATGCTGCAAGACTTGGAAACGGGTGCCTAAGAGCTGTGCTCTAAAACTATGGAGCAATGTTTTACTTTAGCTAACTTTCGAAGGGGAGATGCAACATGAGAGTTTAACACGGAGTGAAAATTCAGCAGGCAGATCCCAATCACTACGTTGCATGTAGCGAGTATGCACTGGCATAGTGGCTAACCGACCAATGTTATTGCATAGGCCGATTTAAGAGAGAAGGGGCAACTGCATCCCCCTCCCCCCCTTCTCTCAAAAGGCAACTCTGGTCGAAAACAAAACCAAAATAAATGACTGGTATTGCTTTAGTGGCACAAAATATAACTGCGGCCAAAATATTACCTCGAAGTGAAGCCGTATACTCCAATAAAACCGATTTTTAAGATGTGACCAGCCGCTTTTTAGCGTAGCGGCAAATGGGTTAGCTTTTTGTCGAGGAACACTGGTGCAGCCCCACGATGACGTCACGTCGCAGCCGTACGGCCGACGATCAGTGTTGCCGTCCCCCTAGCAAATAGCTTTGATTTTGCCGTAGGTGCCCGAAACCAAACTTTGAGCCATGATATTTATCAAACTACACACAATATCGAAACAAAAATTATACCTTTTAATTCAGCGACGTTGCTTTAGCTAAAAACAGTCGTAACCCCAAATTAAAAAAAAATATTGGCCTGAGTTTTTATGTAAAAAATGACATACTTAAGCTTTGTTTAGGAAGAAAAGCTTAGTTTTCGGTGGCGTGGAAAAACCCCGAAGCCTGACCCATAAATCCGCTCCTATGTGGCTGGTTTAGAGTAACTCAAGAGTAGGTATGTGTAGTGTATAATAGAGGAGGTATGTATAGTAGGTATATATAGTGTATAATAATAATAGAATCTGCCGGACTTCAGATTCGGCAAATGTCTGCGCACGGGGCCATGGATTGCAAATGGACGCGATGTGGTTGTACGGTTACCATCGTACGGTGTAGTACCACCAGCGGTTACGGCGAGGTGCGGAGGCGACATGGGTAATTGTGTGTTTGTCAGCCTCTGTGAGTATGGTTCTCTTCAGTATTTTCTGCTCCAAGAACAAAAGATAGAGTTTGTGCCAAAAAACAAAACAAAAAACATATCTTCTTAATTTGCATTATTTCGCTGCTTTCATCGGTCCGCATAAAACTAAACACAGTACCATCATGCTCAACGTTGCACATCCGACATTCCTAACACTTTTCGTCTTCCTAAACATCCGCGTGTGTCCTAACATCAGAAACCGACATTTTAAAAATTAAAAACGAGATTTACACATAGGGTATTTGAAAAACCCATATTTGAAAATATTTGCAAACAAAAAAGGGGACAAACACAAAACGTCTCAGATTGTGACGTTTTGTGTTTGTCCCCTTCTTCGTCCGTCGTCTCCATTTTTTATAAATATATGTAACATCAACCAGCTCGCTTGTTTGCTTACTCTTTCTTCAAAAAAGGAGATATTGTGAATGAGGGGGCACACTCGTTCATGCAAAGCTGGCGTCATGTGACTCAAATCGGGGAAAAAAAAGTGCATATTTGCAATAATATTGTTATCTCTTCTGGTGAAGGCTCAACAGTCATTGCATTCATTTGTGCGCATGAAATGGTGACTTTCAGAGAAAGTAAGAACACAGTGTTACCGCCTTTATTTTAGCAATCGCTTCGTTCAGTTCACCTGCACCTCCTGCATCGGTGCAGAAAAGTGTAGGGCAGTGCACTTAACGTATCTATATTGAGATATGACCGGAAGCACACCGCCCTGCACTTTTCTGCACCAGTGCAGGTAAATCGAACGAAGCATTGCAGGCTTGAGCTGTTGAGGCCTCAAAACCGAAACTCGCGTATTGTGATCGTGCTTGCTGCTACCCAACCTCGTTGTTACACCACTTCTGCAAAAAGTCACTGTAAAATTGCCGGTAAACACACAAAAGTGACACTGATACAAATATCTTGTAGAATACCGCCTTATGTAGTAATAACTGTTTCAACATGCATTTTGAAAAAAAACCTATTAAACCTTTTTGCCCGTAAAAATGAAATATTAGCTTTTAAGTCTGGTAACATTGTATTTTTGCCGAATCTTTGTTGTATCTTTAAAAAAGTCTGGCAAAACTTCGGCTTTGCCGAATTTTCGATTCTGTAAAAGTTTGGCCCAGGCATTTATGTGCTAGCACAACCTAAAGCTAACAAAGTTTGCATATCACCTCCATAAGCATGGGAATTGTCTGAAAAAAGTTTAGCTAGGGAGCCTCAATTCCTGGGTGGGCAGTTCTTCGGCTTTCTTTTATTTCCAGCGTGAGTGTAACTCATGAAAGTTGCAGCATCTTTTGGCTAAATTACTTGTTCAAGAACCAGTAATTATGTTTAGGAGCCAATCTTGGGGGAATCCTTGACTGGCGTGTCGTTTTCTCTGTTCCAGGATGAGCTGGCCAGGGTATTTGTAACCCTGTTTGATGCCAAGCACTTGCTGTCGCCGCTACTCTGGAACATGTTCTACAAAGAGGTGCGTTCTCATTTCTGTATTTCGTAAACTGCAGCAACTTTTGGTAGTGAGCAACCTTTGCCCGAACTAGGCCGACAGGTCTATATTTATGTGTTGTCAGATACATAAAAATATATCTCTCAGCACTCTCAGTAGTGAGTGGAATGTACAGTGAATCTTTGGTTCCAGCTCTGTGAGTGGAATGTACAGTGAATCTCTGGTTCCAGCTCTGTCTCTGGCTTTGTCTCTGTCTTTTTGTCTCCAGCTTTGTCCCTTTGTGTCTGATTTCTGTTTTTTCTCTGCCTGGCTCTGGTTCTGATTATGGTTCCAACTCTGTCTCTGTCTTGACCCTGTCCCCATCTCTCATGGGTGCAGGTGGAGCTGTCGGACTGCATGCAGACCTTGTTCCGGGGCAACAGCCTGGGCAGCAAGATCATGGCCTTCTGCTTCAAGATCTACGGTGCCAGCTACCTGCACACCCTGCTGGAGCCCCTGGTGCAGCCCCTGCTCTCGGAAGCCTCTTGCGGGGCGGCCCCCCCTCCGGGCTACGAGGTGGACCCTGCCCGTGTCGAGGAGGCCGAGGACGTCGAGGAGAACCGCCGCAACCTGCTCCAGCTCACCCAGCGGGTCTTCAACGCCGTCATCTCCTCCGCCGACCGGTGGGCACCTGCCTCGCGTCTCGAGTCTTTTTGAGCTACCATTGCTACCAAGAGAGTGTGATGCCGGACAGTGGTTATTGTGATGCCGGCCAGCATTGTAAAGTTAGCTTCTGGATGTTGTCATTGCCTGATGCAATGCCGGTCAGTGGTTGTTGTGATGCCGGCATTGTAATGTTATCTGCCAGATAAAAATCATTGCCCAATGCAATGCTGGGCAATGGTCATTGTGATTCTGGCATTGTAAAGTTAACTGCCAGACAATGGTCATCGCCCGGTGCAATGCAGGAAATGGTATTTGTGATTCCGGGATTGTAAAGTTAGCTGCCGGTCAGTGGTCATTGCCCAATGCAATGTCAGACAATGGTAGTGTGGTGCTGGCATTGTAAAGTTAACTGCCGGACAATGGTCATTGCCCGTTGCAATGCTGGACAATGGTCATTATGATTACCATTGTCTGGCATTGTGAAGTCAGCTGAAGTATGGTGCCTGGAGCGCATCTCCGTCCGGTGAGATTAGTGTCCTATCCCACCCACACATCAAAAAATGTCCCGGTGGCGAAGGTGAGCGTTGCCATTGTTGCGGCGTTCCGGCCGCCGAGACTTCCGCAGACTGTAAAGCCGGAGAGCGGCCTACATCAGAACAGACGTCTGCCACATCCACCACCGTTGCCTTGACACCTCTAGGACGGCGGCCGGTGACGTCGTGAAAATACTATGACCTCATCAGGCGGAAATGGAGAAACCATTTTTACAGCGCGGTAGACTTACCAGTCGGAAATGTGTTACGGGCACCATATCCGAAGCGTGTGTTCGAATGCTTACATTCAAGGCAGCGCTTGACCACATCCGACTATGTTACGTCGAAATACGCCTGCGGGTTACCGGGACGTCTGCGCTTTGTACGCCACGTGCCAAGCTGCTCATTGAGTTGGTTTGCCGCACTTCGTACGAAGCGAGGATGTCTTGGTAATTGGCTCTGGTATGTTGACGGAAGCCCCCAGAACGTGGTGCAATGCTACCGCGCGAATGGGCCTTCAGTTGACCCATTTGTGCAGTTCTCTCGCTCTAATTTCTGAATTTCAGATTTTCTCGAAGGAAACGAAAGAGCTCGTTTGTAAAACGACGAACATGAGATCTTGGTAACTTGTGCGCTGGCTGTCCTCCTTTTTGGGGGGGTAAGTTAGTAGGGCAATAGGGTGAACCTGTCGTTGTGGCAGATACTTTCTGGAGATATTCGAGGTCACGGTAGAAGTGTGGCCCACTCTTCCCCTGGGTGTGCAGGTTTCCCCCGCAGCTGCGCAGCATGTGCCACTGCCTGTACCAGGTGCTGAACAAGCGCTTTCCCAACTTCCCGCACAACATCAGCGCTGTGGGCACGGTGATCTTCCTGCGTTTCATCAATCCAGCTATTGGTGGGTGCTGTGGCCTTGTCTCCTTCCGCACCCTGCTGCGGTCATGTGTTCTATCTTTAGAGCAGCCTATTAATATATTCCTGTGGCTGGGGAAGTTACACAAATTCCCTCATCACTTCCTGTGATGGTGTTTTATGAATTTCATATGGTGTACTTCTTAGGTTTTATACTGCCCGAATAATCCTTAAGTCATATTTATTGAGTGAGCTGGCACATGTAGGGAAATCCTGGTTGATCTGGTACCTTATTGACATTGCGGCTATAGACTATTTCAGGTCTAAGGAACTGTCATGATTGTAATTTAAGGGTAAAACTCGGTTTTCTTGTCCTTGAACATGACTTATTAAAAAGAACCCCCCCCCCCCCCCCCCCCCTCCCGCCCTCATCATTCTCAGGATTGGGAGGTTTTGAGTTGTATAGACTTGTCCTTAGTAAGAACAGCAAGCACACTGAATAGCTTGCAGAGATATTATAAAGTTATAAACAACCAAAACTTTACCTGTTTCATATCTAGGCTGTTCTATTAATTGAAAATATAGGGTTAGTGTCACAATTGCCTATTTGAATGAAACTTCTGTGGTTAACGGGGTTCGAGAGAGTTTAATTTCTGAGCGAAACTTAACATATTCCGGGGTGCTAATACCGTGTAAAAGCCAATGCATTACCTTCAGTATTACATGTTGCCTCTCATGATAACTGCAGGTGCCATGGTCAACACTGAGGTGCCATTTTTAGTTTGTGTGCCAACATAGTCTTGACTGCTTGAGATCTGCTCCAAGATGCACTTACTGGTTCTGCAAAAATTCAGTTCTATCTAGAACAAAATAGCTCGATTCCATCCCCTCAGTTTAATTATTATGACAGTTCATTGTTCACAGAGCCTGGACAATGAATGCCTTTTCAGTTATAACAATACAAATTATTATTATTACAGTGTCGCCCTACGAGATGGGCATAGTGGACCGTCAGCCGTCTTCGCGCACCAAGCGTGGCCTGATGCTCATGTCCAAGATCCTGCAGAACATTGCCAACCACGTGGAGTTCAGCAAGGAGCAGCACATGCTGCCCTTCAACGACTTCCTCCGGGCAAACTTTGAGTCTGGACGGAGGTGGGTGCCACAACCTCCCCAAGTGCACGTATCGTTCCTAGAAAGACACGGAACAAGAAGGAATAAGTGTTGAAATATGTGAAAATTCGACGAAAATATATTCCGCAGTATGTGTCGCGATATGCTGAGAAATATGTCTTAATCCATTTAGGGTAAGCAAATAAAAACTGGAAATGCGGCATATTTTGTGTGCTAGGGACAGAGCACTGGAGTTTATTAAGGGGGGACATGGCCTGGGAGGGTCAACTTTTGAACCACTGTCTCAAAGTGATTCAGACTTTCAGGGTGAATTGAACCCCTTTAGGATTGGTGACATCTAAAGTTTCAGTCTTATAGGCCAATTCTACAACATACTATGCTTAACAAGCTTCAGAAAAAAGTTACTTTATTAGGAAATGTATTTAAGAAAAATAATAATTGCAATCCACAAAATGTTTGGTTTAATGTGAAGTAGAATACCCACAGTGCAAGTTAAGGTAAAAATTAATTGTAGAAAATGCAATTATAGAGAAAAACAATAACTCCCAAAAAGAGCAAACGATTTTAACAAATTTCTGAGTTTTTAAATATTCAGTTTTTGTCATGAAGAATTTAGCTTTTTCAGATTATGAGTACCTTAACTTGTTCCTCGGGAAATTTCAGTCAAGGACACCACTGAATAAAAATCTTTGCACTTTCAAAATGTCCAATGATACATTTCCTCGTACCACATTTCCTGCCAAAAAGAGGAACTGAGAAAAATGCATTCGAAGTTTCAACTTTAGGTTCCTTCTTTTCTGTGAGTCCGAGGTAGGCAAAATTCACCTGGTGCATTGTTAGCACCTTCCTCTTCAAGACTTCCCTGTTCCCCTGGCAATTGTTACCAGTTTGTGTCATTTGTTGGCTAACTAACGTTTGTAGCAGGCATTTATTGACAAATAAACTGGCAAGAACTAAGAGGCAAATCATACTAAGGAAGAGCAGCAAAGCAGGAATAGGGTCTGAAGTGGAAGATACTGTGAAAGGGTGTTACTGAAGATGACACAATATCACATCACCGGGCAGGGCCACTCGTAAACCCTGTTTCGGGTCTCAACCAATAAAATTGCTCTCACCAAATTTTCAGAATTTTTTCTGTTTGGATGTATTGGGTCCTCCTAGCCATTGACACTTGTAAACTTGGAGAACTTCTACGGGCTAAATCTAGAGTAAATGGCACTTCCAATGAGGGTGAGATGTTGCGGCTAGGTTAAACGAGTATGAAACAGTGCTAAATAAAAAACGCAAAACGCTTCCTCACTGCTGACTCGAAGGGCTGCCGACATGTCAAAAATAATTTATTCTGAGATAAATCCTGCATGTTTATAAATGAAAGTTTCTGAAACCATTCTTTGGAAGTTACCGTATTTACTCGCATATTGGTCGATACGTCGTATAGGTCGACCCCCTAACTTCGGGACCCCCGAAAAAAAAAAAAAAGTTGGAACGGCGTATAGGTCGACCCCCGCAAGCTCTGAGCCGCCGTTACGCGGTGCCTGGCACCGCGTGACTAATCGGCCACTCGAACGCCCGCAGTATCGCCGATGTGTTACGCGAACATATCAAGCACGGTAGCAATGATCGTACAGGGCTAAAAGAAATGTTTATTTTGCACTTTCGCAATCACTCATCGGACGACGATGCGCACTAATCACGTGCTTCCGCACGTAAAATCACTTTTTTCTTGAAAGCTGCCGAGAACGGTCGCCGACGTTCGGGAGGCATTGCGTGACTGGCTCCAAGCGTGGTGATCATGTGACTGGGTAGTCATCGTCTTTTCATCTTTTGTTTGCCGTGGGGCCGCTTTAATGTTCCCGGTAGGGGGCGCTGCAAGCACCGCGCTAGTAAAGTCCCTAGATAAGACCTTCCTACAAGTAGCGACATTCTTTGAAGCGCCGACTGCTTGACGGTGCAGGTTTTAGGAAGCGAATGGCGGCGCACAGCAGAGGTTTGAACTGAATGCCGCCATTCGCTTCCAGTGGAATCTGCTTTGTCATTTGTATGGGTTGTCGTTACTTGTATAAGAAGTATCAAGGGACTTTACGCGCTAGAAGAAAGAGTGATAGTACAGGCGAGCTGTCGCTGAGTCAGCTGAGTGCCGACGCGCGCGATGAGAACGGACCGGGATTTGCGTATTGGTCGACCCCCCAGTTTTGATGAGGCGATTTTTGAAAAACAGGTCGACCTATACGCGAGTAAATACGGTAATAAGCATAAACATATCATCTTTGAAAAAAACGTTTTTCTCTGAAAATTTTGAATTCCGAGGCCATGTCCCCCCTTAAAGGTCTCTCGCGGGCGAGGTCTCCTTTCCTCGACCGAAACGAGAGCATTAACCTGGGCTGCTTTACATAAAACAACCACATGTGGCTATGAGTTGAAAGCTATGGAACAAGAGTGCAGAATAAAATGGGTAAAAGACAATTACATGCATTTTCTTTAATGGCGCATCAAAATCGTAATAAATAGTGATATTTATTTCAACTGTGGAGATTTGCGGCACCGCAGTAAGGCGGGTAAGCTCGGATTAAAATGCCCGCTGTGCCAAAAAAGAAAGACAAAGTAAAAGCAGACAAAGTGACAACTTCCGTAAATCCCGCTTACTCTACGAATATGTAGGGGAAAGCATTGGATGAGCGTAACAGTGGTTGCACAGCGTGCACATTGACTCCTTTTTAAACAAAGTCAACACTGCTGCGGGAGTTGACATCTCTGAACTGCAGACACCACTAGAGTGTACCGTCGAAGCGTGCAGATCAGATGCTCGTAATCTGCGACCAAAGACCCTACAGGAGCATGCCAGGATGCACCACACAAACGATGTGTCTTTGAATGGCATGTTTAGCGCCCTATCTCGCCCATACATAAAAAGAGGCCTCGAAGTGGCAACGAATGGCATCCCGGAAGCCGGTATGTCGCGTTGTCGGATGTCGCGATCCCGGTGGCTGGTGCTACGAGTCCCAATAAAACAAACGGGAGAACGGGAGCGCTGACGTCGTCGCAGAGTCCCAGCTTCTGGCTGCCGAAGCTTGCGCGGACCGTCAAGCTGGAGAGTGACCTGCAGCAGGACAGGCGTCTGCCACACACACCGCCGCCGCCTTAACGCTTCCAGTATTGCGGCCGGCAACAACACAACGTTCTCACGACTTCGCTGGGCGGAGATCGAGGGGTCACTTTTTAGTAGGTGGCAATAACACCGGTCGGAGACGCGTTTCGGGCACCACGGGTGTACGGCGGAGGTCTTAACATAGCATTGTAATAAAAAAAGTGTGCCGAGTTGTGGAACCGGGTTTCCGACGGAGACCCCACCCCCTCTTTCCCTAGGTTTGTGATGCAGATCACGTCGGACTGCGAATCCGTGGAGCCGGGCAGCCACAGCATGTCCTTTGTGAGTGACGCCAATGTGCATGCCCTGCACCGGCTGCTCTGGAACCACCAGGAGAAGATCGGGGACTACCTGTCTAGCTCGAGAGACCACAAGGCCGTTGGGAGGCGCCCCTTCGACAAGATGGCCACCCTGCTCGCCTATCTGGGCCCCCCCGAGCACAAGCCCATGGACTCGCAGTGCGTCTCCCCCCTGTCCTCGTTGCAGTGCCTCTTGTTTAATGTTTTTGGCAGTGGTGGCGCTCCACGGTCGTACGGAGACGTCTCAAACGGAAAGAGCATTCTGTCCGAGACGTCTTTGTATGACTGTGAAGCACCGCTGCTGTTGGGAATATTCAACGTCTCCTACATGACACACCGATAGTGCTTACTTTCCCATGTTGTCTGCCACAGGCCAGGACGGGGCACATACTGGGCTTTGAGGGCTGTGTTGGCGTTTGGTTAGAACTCGCGTCTCCACTGATCGAACGCTGATGCCACATGTTGGCAGTATGACCTTGTTTTCTAGGAGGTCTTGGTAATTGCCTCGTCTTCTTCCTTTCTCAATTCAGTTGCTTACTTGTTAAAGTGAACATTTTGTTACTATATTCTGGGACTGGCTATCTCAAACTGAGGGAATGGACGTATGATATATGAACAACAATTAAGAAATCTCTACGAAATTAATAGTGCATTGAACTAAATGCATGCATCTTCCTTTGCTTTGACGTTTAGTCAGTGTAACATGCACTAGGAATTTTGCACCTCCGGTTCAGAGAGACCCCAGGGTCTGGCATTGAGACGGCATTTTCTTTTAGAATTGCAGTTGCTTTTCAGCTTTGCTAGGTTTTTGTTTCATTTTAATGGGCCCCTTGCCCCTTTAGGTCATCATTGCCTGGCCATGGGCGTAAGACACGTAGGACCATAACTTTCCCACTTGGGATCAGAGATCAATGTGACCCTTAGCTTCCAAAACAATCCTTGATCAGGATAGTAGCATACAGTGAAACCTTGTTATAATAAAGTTGAAGGAGCGGTTGAAATTATTTCGTTATAAGCATTAGTTTGTTATAGCCACTGTCCATTTCTTCCCACTATTAGCAAGCAAGGGGAATTATGATTGCTTTGTTATATCCATTAGTTTGTTATATCCCATTTTGTTATACCGAGGTTTTACTGTATTACAATCTCAATCTGTTTTTTTTGTTTTTTTTCATGGAATTATGGAATTAGGGGCACACATCTTCTCAACATTTGGAACTTGCTGGCTTTGAGTGCGAGGTTCCTTTCTTAACTTTACTTGCTCACTGAGCTGACAGACGAGGACTGAACACGCCAGACGAGCCGCTTGTAACGAATTAGTGCCTCCCGTGTGCAGTGACTAACCCTTTAATGTGATGCTGTCGAGAATATAAAGGAGGCAAGACGTATGATGGCTCGATTGTTTAAGAAGGCGCGTGACGACGGGTCTTCTCCTCTACCGCCCCCAGGTGGAGCAGCATGGACATGACGAGCACCAAGTTCGAGGAGATCATGTCCAAGCATAACATGCATGAAAAGGATGAGTTCAAGTCCATCAAGTCCCTCAACATCTTCTACCAGGCGGGCACCTCCAGGGCCGGCAACCCCGTCTTCTACTACATCGCACGTCGCTACAAGTTAGCTGCTCTCCTCTATACCTTTTTTTTTTTTAGTCTCATGCATCTGTCCAGTCCTCATCGATCTGAAACCTCCCATCTACTTCTTTGAGAAGGCACTGAAGCATCCAATGTCTTCTTCGTGTGGCATTCTTGGTGCAATTTCTAAACTCGCACGTCATAGTACTTACTACCATTCTCTTTTTCCCATTCAGAATCGGGGAGACAAATGGGGATCTACTCATCTATCACGTGATCCTGACTCTGAAGCCCTTTTGCCACAAGCCTTTTGAGCTCATTGTGGACTTCACTCACACCTGTGCTGATAACCGCTTCAGGGTGAGTGCAAGAGACTTGTCTAGTTTTTTAATGCGAAAGCATTAACTGGGGTCCCACGGAGCGAGCCGACGTCATCAGCTTTGAAGCCGTGCCAAAAGCCGCACCACACGGCAGCTAAATTCCCCTCTCTTGATGGAGCTCAGTGAAGCCGCGATCTGAAGTCTTCCAGTTTTGAAGCCGCCCAAAAAGCCACGCAAAATGGCAGCTAAATTCGCCTCTTCAAAAGTGAAGCCGAAATTTGATGTATAGGCTCCCATTGGCTGGCGCACGTCATAGTTTCAAGGAACGAGGCTACCGTTGGCCGCTGCACGTCAGTTTCAATGAGTGCCACCCCATGGCACTACGGGCCCGCACCGCCAGCACGCCAGTGGAAGGAATCGGCTGGTGGTGGCAAGAGCCCGCTCGGGCAGACTCCAGAGCGGCAGCACGGCCGATGTCAGCGCGGCGCGGCCACTTCGCTAGAGTGCGGTCAAGACCAAAATTCATGCTTTCGCATTCACAACTCGTAAGGAAACCATAGTGTAAGGCGCAAAAAACAACGGACACAAAAGTACAAGTTCTTCTACAACTCAAAAGAACTGCTTAGGTTCAACGAACATCGCTGAAATAGTATCCCAAATATCAGATCAAAATATTTGTTTTTTTGCGAAATTATTGAATTTAAAATTTTGGTCTCCACCGTGCTTTTCAAACTAAAAGTCTCCACTGGCAACAACGAAAAAGTGATGTCTGTGGAAGGCATGATTTCACTCTTTGGACTGTAGATTTTGTTCCCAACTGATCCCAACCAGTTTCATGGTGTCAAATGAATGCTTCGGAAGCTCGCTCCAGTACCCACGCACCAGCACAGAACAAATGCTTGGTAAAGTACATTATGTTGGTTTTTCACATTTTCATTTGCCGATTTCACAATAACCAACAAATTTCGCGATACTAAATAGCATACTGGAAAGGGTAAACGCCGGGGACTCAGAAAATATAGTTACCGTAATATCCCGAGTTATCGCCCACTCCCCCCCATTTCCTGAAATTCATAAAAAAGGGGGGTGGGCCATTTCTCGGTGGCTGAGCACAAGAAGTAAAAAAAATCAGAAAAAAACGCCCATTTTTTTGTGCGTATCCAGCGCGGCTGCAGAAGAGATACATTAAACTCAAAACTCGAATTAGTTTTATTGTTTTATAGAAAAAAATTATAATGAAAGAATGTTTTACTATTGCGAAGTGTGTTGCTTGCATACGCACCATAAACACCGCCGATCGGCGTGCAGCGTGAATGTTTGTTCCGTGAAAGCACGTTACACCACTGTGTTTTTCTTGTTAGGTAAAAAAAAAAAAAAACGTTTACAGGAAAATAGAAAAACCAACCAGGCGCAACGAGTGAGCGAACGAGCGGACTAAAGAAGCGAAGAAAAGTGATGCTGGGAAAGCGGGAAAGCTGGCGATCGCGTTGGCAAATAGTTTGGCGTCGGCCCAAGTTGGGCGCCTTGTCAATCACAAGCTCTTGTGCAACTTTCTTGTTTGGTGCATACATGCGTACGTTTGTGAATGGCGTGCCATCAACGCGGGTTAAGGTAGGGTGACCAGACGTCCCGTTTTGGCCGGGACAGTCCCGTTTTTGAGGTCAACTTCTGCCGTCCCGTCTTTTTATCTCAATATAGGGTCATGTCCCGTTTTTGCAGCAGTACATAGTTTCGAAATTGGCACCAAGCGAGAAGAACTATGCCTAGTCGTTACAAGTATCTTTTACAAAAATAACCATAGGTACTTTAAAATATTTACTCAGAGAGTAAAGTTTAGAACTGTTCTTGCCCACAAACACATTTTCTCTCGCGAAGTGTGTGTAGAAATATTTGTAGAAATATTTTTTAGTTACTGGATATAGTATGGATGTAGAATCATGTAGATATAGCATGCATGTAGAATTTCATTAAGGGGGGACACTGGCTAGAGGTGATCGGAATGAAATTTGCAGGGAAGATTTAACTTCAGATGTAGGTGTACTGTGCAGACTTTCGGCTCTCCAGGACAACTTTACATACCTGCATAAGAAGATGTGTCACTCTTCGTTAAGAAATCTATGATATGCAAATGCTGCTATTAAGCATCATTTTAACTGCTTGAATATTAAGTGGGGGATGTGGGACTTTGGGCCATCTAGTTTTTATAAATCAAATGTAAATATTTCAGAAAGAGTGATTACCTCAAAATATGAGATGCATATATGTCCTATGTGTCCTATGTATCTGTCCTATATCTGTCCGGGAAGTGGTCCTTAGGACCACTTCCCAGACAGATATGTTCCTTTTACAGGTCATTGTATTTTAAGGTTTTGTTTTATATTTGGTGTGCATGACTGCATTTACATTGGTTTTCTTAACTATTTTGTTAAGAAGTTTATGTACAGCTATATCACATTTACATTACTTTTTCGTTTTCTTACCTCTCATTTTATTTTTGATTTATTGATCTTAATTATTGCTCAATTTCTCAGGCCCCGGCAGGTCACACAAAAACGAAACAAAACAAAAAAGCCCTGTGTGCTATGTCATTTTATTACAAATTAGCAGTACATAATTACAGGATACAGCAAAAAGCTCGCAAGAAGGCCCTCATTTATCCACAAGTCAGTAATTTTCAGCTGAAAATTTGTGTTCTCTTTTCCTTGTCTTGTTCTACAGGGTTAAAACCTCACATAAATAGACACCTATGTGCATTTTGGGTTCGGTTCTTTCGGTGACGTCAAATTCGGCTCCATCAATGCTTAGTAGGACTCAACTGGTTTTGTCATCTATAAATGGGCAGTATCTAACTGAAATTTTTTCGTGCCATTCTGGCCTGTCTTGCTTCAAAGTGGTGTTGTGACCGTTGGCGTGCTTGTCGTCTGCCTTCATCCTCGCAGACGGAGTTCCTGCAGAAGTGGTTTGTGGTGCTGCCCGAGGTGGCCTACGAGAAAATCCAGGCGGCCTACATCTACAACTGCAACTCGTGGGTGCGCGAGTACACCAAGTACCACGACCGCATCCTTGCACCCCTCAAGGTGGGCTCACTCGCTCACTTTTCGGTCCACTTTCCACTTTTCTTTGGTACACGACGACAAAGCAAACTCCCTGTGAAAAGAGTGTTAGAGAAATTTGGTATCGTAAAGGAAAATATTGGGTCCTGGTCCTGGATAGGTGCATAGAGTACATCCATCCAGCCGCGCACCAAGTGCATCGGAACTTCCAGCTTTGCATCTGTAAAGATCATACCTCAACTTTGTAAGTTTACAGGAAAAAAAATAAAAATATAACATAAAGTACAAGTCTTTCAATATAATTGTTGCAGATGGAAACAGATCGACAAGCATAAAACTAAATAAAGGTTTAATCGGCTAACTTGTGCCAGAAACAAAAGAAAGAAAGAGCATCGAGATAGCAGCAGCAAGCGTCGAGGTGTCGACGTGTTGTCAGCTGGCTAGCCCAACAGTGCCCAAGTGATTTGGCAAGGCCACGCTGGGCTCCTTATCCACTACACCCGGTATCTTGAACATTTGGCCTAGAATGCTGGAGTGTCTACACTTGGGACAACGTTACTAAAACACTCGGTTGGGAAACTCCCATAGAGACAGCCCTAAAAATATGGCCCCAATCTGTCTCCGAGCACCGAGCTAATGACAAACACAACGCCACCATTTCTGCCGCAGCGGCCACTCGAGAAACTGCACGTGACTTCTATTTTTGGCTTTGACAGGGGTGAACCCCCGTCTCCCCGGCGGACGCGCCGCGCTGAACTACTGAAGTTAAAATGCACCTAGATCGGGACGCGCTACCTGAAAGGCCCGCTGAGGCATGGTTTTATAAAAACAATATTAATTGTTCTGCAAAACCTTGCGAACTAAAGATGATAAAAACATCACGCGCCCATCATTTGGTACTAAACTCCAATAAATTTCATACAAAAAGAGTCTTTTCCGTTTGTTTTTACGCAAAAAACAGGCTTTCAAAAAGCTCGAGGTGACCATAGTACAGACAAACGAAAAAGAGTGGCGCTGTTGTCGCATTTAGCTCGGTCTCGGCGGACGCCAGCGGCCCAGGTTTCGACGGCGAGTTTCCCAACTGAGTGTTTTAGTAACGTTGACTTGGGACAAGAGCAGACGCGAATTCCCCCAAAGCATAGAGCAGCGTTCCCTCTCGTCCATGCTTGTGGCAATATAGAGAACATATACAGTAAAACCTCGTTATAACAAAATGGGATATAACAAACTAATGGATATAACAAAGTAATCATAATTCCCCTTGCTTGCTATAGTGGGAAGAAATAGATATTGGCTATAACAAACTAATGGTTATAACAAAACAATTATGACCGCTCCTTCAACTTTGTTATAACAAGGTTTTACTGTATGTATATGGTAGAGTTGAGGTAGTCTTGTAATACTGGTAATAAGCTTTTTAGGTAGGAAAATTGTGAAGAAAAGTTCTTCCGAAAAATATTTGTAATGAAAAGGTTCTGCTGTGTGGCTATGAAGAGCATGCATACAGAGCAGAGAGCAGTGCTAGTTTCACTAGGACGCCGATATTATGTATGAAGTGTGGTGTCGCATCTGCAGAAAAATGTTTGAGGTGAGTGATACAGGAATGCCGAGAAAAGGGTGAAGGGAGTAGAGGGAGCAGAGGAAATAAACATGGTAGTTCTGAAGAACAAGTGAAGCTGAATTCACAAAGTGGGCTGTGAACAGGACTCCCAAGGCAATGTAGTAGCTACTGCTATGCCTCTTATTTATGGGTGATTCCATCCATAGGGAAAGATGAATGCCTTAACGTCTGCAACAGATGATTATCTTTACCGTGCTCCTTTTGGAACAAATTCCTTTTGACACTCTGGTTGTTACTAGGATTGTGCGAATATTCACTTTTTCGAATAGTAGTTTCAAATAATGTGCTATTCAATATTTGCTTAGAGATGAACTGCAATATTACTATTTTTCAAGGTGTCGACCGCAGTGGGTTAGCCTTGTTGAGCGCATTTTTTTACTGAGCACAACTGCCCTGCGGAGTAGCAACACTCGCGGAAGCAAGCTCCACGGGTGTTGCTTCTCTGCAGTGCACCGGTGCTTGGTAAGATGTGCGCTCAATTGGCTTAACCTGCCGTGATCAACACTTTGAAAAATACAAATATTGCGGTCGCATGCTTAGGAGGAAAGCACACTTTTAAAACGGGACAATGCGTGTGCTCGCTTGGTGTATATAAAAAAAAAAAAAAAAAGCCTTGTGAATGTATTTTTTTTTTTTTTTTACAAATGTGAATTTAGATTACAGTAAAGTTTCCAAAATTAAACTGATGCTATTATGCAAGGGCATGTGTTAGGCAGACGTTTCCTGATGACTTGCATTCATCTTTAGATTGTCTTTTTTTCTTTAAGTTTAGATTTAAGAAAGGATATTTGCATATCGCAAGACAATTTATAAATACCCTTGATTAGATACACCTGGGAATTTCTATAAGTTAAATTTTATGTCAAACATGTCATTTACTTGTCATTCCAATGTAAGCATTGGACTTTGTGAGGCCACTGTCTATAAATACAGTTAGCTTAAGATTAACTTAGCTTAAAAATGGACAGGTGGAAGCTTAGGATCAACCTTCACGAGTTCAGCTGGGTTTTTGTTTAAACACGGTGTAGTAGTCCATGGCTTGGAGAAACTATTCAATATTCAACTAGAAATTATTTTGCCGAAACCACTATTCGCTTCAAACTCAATATCCACTATTCGCGCATGACTAGTGACCATTGCAGTGCTCTTGACCACTGAAACACTCTGCAGGTTTGCACAATCATGGCTAGACCTGGTTAATTTGATGTGACTAAACTTTTGGCCCTTCTTGTTTCTACAAAGAGCAACAGCAAAGTCTTTTGTCATCGGGGTGACACCAGCTGATGGCAGTGTTGGGATTTCGCAGGGCAATCGGAAGCTGGTGTTCATTGACACACCTCAGCGCCTGAACGAGTACATTGACCTGGATCAGCAGCGTCTCCCGGGGGCCACCCTGGCCCTCGATGAGGACCTCAAGGTGTTCAACAACGCCCTCAAGCTCTCACACAAGGACACCAAAGTTGCCATCAAGGTGCGTCCCTCCATCAGCGAAAGCTTCCAGTGACCTTTGGCGGTTGTCACAACCAATCCCTTGATTACTCTTAATCCAAACCGTTGATAAAGGAAAAGCGATGCAATGCCCCTTCGCTAGCTACCCATCCTGAAATTGAAAGCAATTTTTCTTTTCCAGGTGGGTCCCACGGCAATCCAGGTGACTTCGGCTGAGAAGACCAAGGTGCTCAGTCACTCTGTCCTACTCAACGACGTCTACTACGCCTCCGAGATAGAAGAGGTGGGCTCTCCCTCTTAACATTCTTTCTTGCTGTTGTGTCATTCTGTAAAGAGAATGTAAGGCACTGGTTCAGCATTCTGATTGTGTTGTATAGCTTCTTTAACCTCATAATTCTTAGTTGCTGGTGAGGGTGACATAGCTTTTTTTCTTATAGATTAGCTGGAGGCTTCTCAAGTTGCAGCATTTTAAAAGACCTTGTGTTGAGACAGGGTGCACTCGATGTAGGGCAGGGCGTGGTGAAGGAATAAAGGGCGTTAACTTTTTTTTGGCTGCATTGCAGGTGTGCCTGGTGGACGACAACCAGTTCACGCTGACCATTGCCAATGAGAGCGGACCACTGTCTTTCATCCACAATGACTGCGACAGCATCGTGCAGGCCATCATACACATACGCACCCGCTGGGAGCTCTCGCAGCCGGTGAGCAATCCCTGCACGTTTGTTTTGGTCTCTCACTGCATTGGCCAGGGTCAAGGTTACCATCGTTTATTGCGGCAGTTTGCGAAACCTCCTGCCCAGTTTCATGGTAATGAACACCTTTGCAAGGCGAGTGGTATTCGGGGGCACTTGCAGAAACTGCTGCACTTTCATGGTGTCTGTGTTGTGTGGCCTTGATTGAACACTCTCAGCCTTGTAAATCAAAGGTTGCTGCTGTGACTATTTGCTGTAATCTATTTTCTGCTACCTGTTCGGTGCTGTTGTAGACTTTCAGATATGAAGTGGCTGTTCTATCCCTGCATTGTAAAGATGGGCTTATTTAGCATTGAATGGATTAGTTGGACTAATTAGTTATCAGCGGTCCGGAGTAGACGGACCGCTGATGACTAATTGGAACCAGGGTGGACAAAAATAATGATTAAAAGAGAAAAATCTGACTTATGTGATTTACTGTAAACGACTTTATTTTCGCGGGCACAAATTTTCGCGAATCGGGCGAAAACTGAAAATTTGAAATTATTCGCGGGTTCTAATTTTTGTGAATCGAGTGTGGCTTCCGTAGCGTTCACATATTGCCCGAATTGTTTGTGGGATGTATTTTTTGCGAATTGTAGGCAATTCGCAAAATTTTCGAAAATTAGGTCCCCACGAAAATTTAGTCGTTTACAGTATATCAGATTTTTTTAAATTTAAATTGCTGATAAGCTGCTCTAACATTTTTGCTCCTAATCTGCTGCAAACTGTAGACTTTTGTGCTTTGAAGTTGCTCCAAAATGCATAAATGGCTGCTCCAAAACGATAATTTTGTGCTCCTAAGCTGCCCCAAAATCCAGATTTTTCTGCTCCAGAAATTGCTCCAAAACCTGTTTCACCTGTCTCACCCCCTGAGTATGCAAGAACTAACAGATGTACCAAATGCTAAAATTGTCCGTGCTATCGTGATCAGCTTGAAGGCATTTTCAGTGCACCGTAGCTAGAATACAGCAATATGGGGGTGTTCATGTTTGTTGTCAAATTCCTAACAACTCTTTGTCATTATGTTCTTTTATTAGGGTTTTTCTGCTCTTGAGCAAGGTATAACAAAAGTTTAGCTCTGTGCTGCTTTGTTATATGAGGCCATCGTTACAAAGCGTGCCTTATTGAGAACTATCCAGCTGTGATGTTTCACACTCTGGGGTGCAATATTTTCGATGAACTAAGTAGGCTATGCATGTTTAAATTTGAAGTTTTTAGTGGTGTGGACTATCCATTGGTGCGGAGCATAGAAGAAGTTTTTTAAGATTGTTCATTATGACGTAATGTCAGATTTTGTGATTAAGCGATTATGTTAATGATGATTTCTTTCTGTATGATACAAGTTTTGTCGTGTGGCAATCAAACAGGCATTTTTCAAGGTGTGCCGCATACGAGAACTTTATGCACCATGGTGCAGACTAAGGAAAAGCTTTTTCTTCATCCAAAATTTTCAGACTGCCGTGAAATTCCGTAAGAGATGGGTGATCTCCCCAGAGAGATTGCTCATCCCGTTTTTCTGGCTAAATATTCGTAACATGAAAGTTCAGAGATATCGCCCACCCCCCGATTCCCGTCGGACGTCACACATGTCCGAGAGGAATCGCATGAATTGCGCTATCTGCGGTACCGGTCCGTCTAAAAAGCAAGTTTATAGCGGGTCTCCGCATTTTTGTCTGCGATCTGCGCGAGCAATATCAGCTCTTGTAACACGCAAGTCATTCCTGCATGTGTATTGCATCATGCGAAGCTGCTGTGTTTACAACCTGCAGTATCCGTTCCTGTGACATGCGAGTTTGTAGCGGATTCCCACTTTTTGTCTGCGACCCAAGCATGCGATATTGGCTCCCGTAACACACGAGTTGTTCATCTGTGTATATTGCATTGTGATGTGCGATTCTGCTGCATCTGCGATCTGCGGTATTCATTCCCGTGACATGCGAGTTTTTAGCGGATTCCCGGGTATTTCTCCGTTACCTGCGTGTGTGATATTGGTTCCCGTGACAGGCAAGTTTGTAGCGGGTTCCTGAGTGTTTATTGCATCGTAAGACTTGAATCTGCTGCATTCTCGATGTCCATTCCCCTGAGATGCGAGTTCTCGGCAAGTTTCTGCGGATTCTTCGCACCGTGAAACGCAAATCTGCTGCGTCTGTAACCTGCGGTTTCCGTTCCCGTGACGCAGAAGTTTGTGGCAAATTCCCGCGTGTTGATTGCATCTTGAAACATGAATTTGCCGTGTCCACGATATGCGGTATCAATTCCAGCGTCTTGTGGTTTGTAGTGGTGGCCCCAATATTTATAATTAACCTTTGATAAAGTCTTGCTGTGACATCCCTAAAGATAGCCCACCCTTTGTTTTTCACAATTTATCTCTTCATTTTGGGTGGGCATTCTTACGGGATTTTACAGTATACACCAAGTGCAGACCATAATCCAGAAATTACGGTAGTAACAGGAGGGGGGGCACCAATTGTCCTTGCAGGACTCGGTGACGGTGCACACCAAGATTCGTCCCAAGGACGTCCCGGGCACCCTGCTTAACATGGCGCTTCTCAACCTGGGTAGCTCAGACCCCAACCTGAGGACAGCCGCCTACAACCTGCTCTGCGCCCTCACCGCCACCTTTGACCTCAAGATTGAGGGACAGCTGCTGGAGACTGCAGGTGAGTCGCTGCTTTCCTTAGCGTAAGCGGTGGCATGAAAATGCTATGAGGTTGTCAGGGGCCTCAAGTGGCAGAAGCTGGCTGACGGAGGTTTTTGGACAAAACGTTTTAGGTAAATTTTCATCTGTCGATCAAGCCATCATATACAGAATTGCGTTGCCAGGCCATGCCACGCCATGCTACATCTTACGCCACGTGATGCTTGCAAATGCTTGCAATATCTTCTGTAAAAATGTGATTTTGTATTGATATATCGGTTACCCTTCTCGTTTGAGGCACAGCATCAAGGGCATACATATTTTAAAGTGGTAGCTTTATAGGCCCAACTGACCTCGGTAGCCATGTACTAAGCATGAAATCTGTAGGTCGGTCAGTCCATAACCTCTAAACCAGGGGTCTCAAAGTCATTTGAGTGTGGGTGCCAATTAGACCACCCACAAAAGGTCCAGGGCTGAAGGGGGAGGAAGCAATATTTTGGCATTCTGACACAACAAACAAACAGCAGTGATGTTTTACCTTGCAAATCAGTCAACCGTCCTTGAGACACACCAGAGATTTCCTAGAGAAGTAACCTTGTGCTCTCTGCTTTTTCTTAGCTCACAATCTTGCCATTTTTAGCTTTCATTTGCGTACATGACTACCTTGGGCTCGCACCTGATGTTAAAACACAATTTAAAGCACCAACATACTGGCAGTTTTCAATACAACGAGAATGAGCACGCCATCTTTGCCCTGTCGCACAATTCACTAGGCTCAGCAGGCATAGAAATATCTTTTCATACGGCAGTGTTTGCTTTCCTGACAATTTTTATAGCGGCATTATAGGAAAATACTTGTATTTTAAAGGTATTCTCTGAAACCTAGAAGCCGATTTCATAGCTTTATCTATAGCACTTGCTCCTACTCAGCGATAGTTTGTGCAACTGAAGTGCTTCCTTGATCAAAGAGTTCAAGCTTGAAACCTACCATATTGGCGTGACGGTTGATTTACACAAGAAAGGGCTGAAAATCAAAGATTTAGACAAAGCAATACTCAGTAAAAAAAAAAAAAAAAAAAAAAAAAAAAAAAAACAGAATGCAAAATATGAGTAGCGCTCCTTTTTAAGCAAAAATGAATTGACAATATTAAACTATTTTTTTTTTGACGCATGTAGTGCTCAAAGTATGGCAATGGGGGCTCGCAGCGGCGGAATGCAGGCGGGCCGCGTCCCAGAGTCGCGGGCCGCATGCCGCGTGTTTGACACCCCTGCTCTCAATGATCTTAAAAAAAATGGCAACCGGTGCTAGAGATTGAACCCTGGTCACCGGCGTGGATGCCAAGTGTGCCGCTGACTAAGTATGAACCCAGCACACAGAAACGGGAGGAGCAGAAGCAGGTGGTGTAAAAAAGCACACGAAGTATAAAGGGGTGAAAAGAGCAAAAAAAAGATGAGTGGAAACAGGTGGCAAGAAAGAGCAAGCAGAACGAGGAGTGAAAAGGGTAAAAAAGTGTGTTTCCCCTCTCTTGATGACTCAAAAAATTCAGGGCAAATGCTTTGTATCCGGGTGGTGCTGAAGGGAAGCGCCAGAAATGTCACTAACAGACAGTAGTGTGACATAATCTTTTTTCATACAAAACTCTGCCCTAGACGCCATTTGAACTAAGAGCACCACCCTCCCTATAAAGCTAACACATTTAAATGCATTAGACAACATAACTAATCATGTTGCCAATTTTTTTTTTTTTTTTTTTTTTTCAGTTTTAAAAGCTGCATTAGTATTTTTTGCTGAACAAAGAGCCAAGCATTCTTCGAGCTGTGACGGGGAAACTGTGCGGGACACGCTTAGTTTTCTTTTGCCTGGTTAGCCACAGGTATTCAAGAAGTCGGTCGGAGAGCCGATGCAAGTCACTAATATGTGCACTCTCAGCTTGTCGGGCCCTCTTCTCTCTCTAGCCAGTACATTATTGCTTTAAGTACCGTAAAAACCCGCATATAATACGAGGTTTTTTTCAAATTTTGCCATGTAAAATTTGCGATTCGTATTATACGTGGGTCCCAACAATTTTCAGCTTCTATGAGGCGCGATCTGACGCAGATTGACGTGGTTTCGGTTTCGTAGCAATATGGCGTTCAAAACAGCTATCATCATCATTAAAATCACAATGTCCGAGAAGCCACCATGTATCCACGGTCAGGCTAGGCAATGGCGTCGGCGCGAATCGCCGAAAACGATGCTCAGCCGCCTTCAATAGAAAAGTAATTTTGGTTGCGGAAGACATCGGCAACAGTGCTGCCGGGCGACAATTCGCCGAAAATGAAGGCGGCATCTGCGGATGGAGACGACGAAAGCAAGCTCTGTTCCCGTGCAACGGAACGAGAAGAAGCTTTGGAGGCCCAAAAAATGGCGTGCTCGCCGACGTCGAGGCAAGTCTCGGCGACTTTGTAAAAGAGGAACGTGAACGGCACGTCGCCGTAGACATCAAGCTGCTGCAAGAGAGGGCCAGAAAACTTTGATGAGCCGACATTGGGTACAATGGGTTGTTCGCTTTATACGCCGCGCCGGGCTTTCACTGCGTCGTTGCACGCCCGTCGCTTGCTCTTTCAAGAAGTACGGAATTTCAAATGTGCTCGACGGCACTAAAGACGACTGCCTTAGGGAGGAGGCATCGGACAAGGAGTCTGATGGAAGTGATGACAGTGATTAAGGTTCAATTACGACGCAAATATACGTTTTTCTTAAGACTTCCTGGGTTGCATTTTACGCGGAATATTTTCGCGGTCCTTAAATTGTTTCATATTATACGCGGATAAAACTTTTTTTTTTTTCTTCGCGGTCCTCAAATCATGCCTTGTATTATACGTGGGTTCGTATTATATGCGGGTTTTTACGGTATATTTGTGTTTTTAGAACCCAGACTTGAGTTACATTTGCAGTTTATGCCGTGCTACCATCATAACTCGTCATTGTGTAAGTTGGCTTGTCTTTAAAAAATGGGAGATCATGTGAGAGCATGCCAGTTGAAACTGGCCTGCTCTAATTAGGTAGTAGTTGATTAATTTGGGGAAAAAAACCCAGAGAAAAAGAGTTGCGACAACTGGTGCAAAAGTTGAATTCCTATTTACAAAATTCACAATTAGGGGTGTGCGAATACTCGAATATTTGAATTCGAATCGAATAGCAAGTCCCCGAATAATTCTATTCGCGAATCGAATCCCTAGTACTATTCGGTCACTTGAATATTTATTATATTCGGCCGAAATCGCGCAGTCGGCGCGGAGCTGACAAAAGAGCCGTTTCTTCTCCCAATGTTAGCACCGTGATGTTTGACGGACCGTGCGAGAAACACCTCTTGGCCCTACCATTCTCCACAAAAATCTAATGCACAGGTCAGAAAAAGGGAAAGTAACGAATGCCACAAACTTTATAGCACGCAGATTTACTTGTGATCGTGACACAATCTAATCTTGAATCACAACCGAAACATCCCGTTTGCGCCACTTGCAGAGAGGAATTGTTGAGAGGCCGGAATTCCGCGCCATGTCTAAATCTTTTCACGAGTAGAGCCCTTGTTTCAAATTGAAGTGCCGATGTAGAACACACTTGCCACACTCACAGAAATCGGCGACTGCAAGATCACAAAAAGAGAACCACTTTAACCACGCCGATAAAACCAGCAGAGTTGTCGTTGCCATTCTTTCGGAACTGCAAGCCGCAAATTCAGATTCGAAACGAAACTGATGAAACGGAATGGAAAAATAGTGTGCCTAGATTTGAGAGGGTTTTTAACCGTTCGGTAGCCGCCGCGTTTGAATTATGGACTGCGAAAAGGTGACGAAAAGACGAAAGCCTCGGTCGGGCAGGCGTTGTCGCTTCTCCGTTTGCTCTCCTCGCCTTCTTTCCACGCGACAACAGCACACATGCGCACTTACGACCAATCTGTACAGGAGCCGTGTTGGGCCGTCTCCGTGGTTTCAGTTTCGCTCACTCCCTCTTTTAAATCTAGGCTCTCTAAAACAAGATAGATGGACAGAGGAATGGATGCATAGCGGCAGTTGGTCGGTGACTTGCGCCACCTAACCACGTTTTTTTTTTACTTCAGATTATATTGTTTAAGCCTGTTTACTCAGATTTAAGCCCTATCTGTTTATTTATAAATAATCGAATCTCGGGTGCCCTTTTTCTCCCTTAAAATCGAGACCAAAGATCACAAAATGTCCCTTTACTGAGATATATAAATACAAAAAAAAAAAAAAAAAAAGACATGTCGCGGAGCTAGGTCGTACTTCTAACGAGAAGGAAAGGCACGCGTGGCTGTAACTTGGGTTTTTTTGCGATGCTTTGGATAGATAGATCATGTTTGTGCCATAAAATTGGATCTTTAGCGCCCAACATCCATCAGCAGCTGCGTTTCTTTTCTTTCTTTTTTTTCTCCAGTACTTTTATAAATTATCCTTTTTTTCTCTTATTAGAGGCATATTCTGCTCCACACACATACTCTGCACATATAATAATCTCATTCACAGCACTCTTTGAAAAATTCCTAAAAATAAAATCTTTATTCGATATTAGATTCAGTATTCGACTTTTTTTTCTTAATTCGATTCGGTATTCGATTTGATGACTACTATTCGGTATTCACACACCCCTACTCACAATCTTTTCTTATTTTGGGGGTTTTGGTCTATATCAAAACTGGAACTAATTATATGTACTTCCTCGGGCACGGGACAAGTGCATACTGAGGTGAACAGTTTGCACAAAAGAATTGTACACTTAGTATAACAATTTTAGAAACATTATCTTTGGAGAGACAGTTATTGATAACTTACTGATGCTAATGGATTTCAGCAATGAGCAGATGACATGCCCCAACTGGTCAAGTCAGTGCATCTGGCTATGCATCATGGAAACGGTGATGCCTCGCTCACCTTCTTAATCACTGCTCGATACGACTGCAGGGCTGTGCATCCCATCGAACAACACCATCTTCATCAAGCAGATCTCGGACAAGCTGGCGACCAATGCGTCCCACCTGACCCTGGAGTTCCTGGAGGAGTGCATCCAGGGTTTCAGGGCTTCCTCCATCGAGCTCAAGCATCTCTGCCTAGAGTACATGACACCGTGGCTGCCCAACCTCACACGGTGAGCGAATCGGATGCCATGCACCCAACCCTGCGTCACGGTCGTAAAAGCTACGCTTCAGCCGTGTTGTGCCGATTATGGGAAAGGCCGTAAAATACCGAGCAAGTGCGAACCGAAATTGGGAGATAGTCTTAATAAGCTGAGAGAGGATGCTAGTGGAAGGGGCACATGATGGGTTGGTCTTCAGTGCTTGGCACCAGCACACATGCATCAAGTTTCACTGCTTTGCATTGGCATGATGGCATCAAGCTTTACTGCTTCGCATGCGTGTGAAGCTTCACTATTTTGTACTGACACATGCTCACATGTCAAGTTTCACCACCTTGCTCCGGAGCGCATATGTCAAGCTTCAACCTTTTTCACCGGTGTGCACACGTCAAGCTTCTCTACTTCGCACTGGCGTGCTCGGAGAAGCGGCCAACATGGGGGAGTATTTCAGTTGGCTAGTTGGGCCCAGACGTCTGGGCAAACGCTTGATATGTCCTTTGCTTGTTGTCCAAATGCTTAAAAAGGAGTGGGTGGGTGCTTAATGCGACATGGGGACATGTTTGGTATGTTATGGTAAGTCACAAAACGGCATTATTTGTTAATTTGACAACAACTAACGTGTTACTGCATTTAATTTTTTCTAGGTCTGTCAAGCATTCTTTTTTTATTAGCTTTGCCTTACTTCGTTATTTAGTATTATTGTTGGGCAATGCTTTATAATTAACAAGCTGTGGCTTAAACACTGGCAACAATATACGCTTACCATATGGTTTTATGCTATGTGTTATTCATTCATCAACAAGTTCATCAAATATTTTTGTGCTGCCAAATTTGCGACGCCATTGTAAGTCTCGATTAGGAGCAGCAGATGGCAGATTGTAGCTGAGGAGGAGAAGTTGAAATCTTCAAGCGGCAAGAGATGGTTGCCAAACAGTTGTGTCTTGGTGATACAGCAGGAGGGTTCTTCTGGGAGGGTAAGGCCATTTTTTTTGGAAGGGCGTCTTTACGAAACACATGCCAAGGAAAGTTCTGAGTTCCCTTCAGTGATAATGTTGCGAGTTATAGTGAGCCTAATTACCAATCCGACTATAGGCAACACTCATTGTGCTGACCAAACCTAGGTTTGGTCAGCACATTGAGCAGAGTGCTCAAGTGCTCACATTGGTGCATCTGGGGTCTTGCAGGTTCTGCAAACATTCCGATGACAACAAGCGTCAGCGGGTGGCCACCATTCTGGACAAGCTCATCACCCTCACCATTGAGGAAGTCGAGGTCAGTTGTGCACAAGTGTCTGTCTCTGTTTCCCCAGAAGCTTAGAACAGCCTTACATCATTGCACTGGTATTCTTCTACTTCACTTTCTAGATGTACCCATCAATCCAGGCTAAGATCTGGGGAAAGATTGGTCAAGTCTCAGACCTCTTGGATATGGTCTTGGACAGCTTCATAAAGGTTTGCATTCCAAGTTTTCCGGGAAACATTTCAGCTGGAGGTTTGTGGCAAAATGATCCTAACGTGAACTGCACTTTAACGTTTCCTGTGTCGGGTTGCACACCTCAGTTGTTAGATTTCATGACTGCTCCGTGCAGCAATGTTGATGTGTTTAGTTGCGTTTATTGTGAGCACCCTCAGATGTGTCCCCATGCAGACCTCATGTTCACTCTTGTTTTCTGGCCAAGCCTGGCATAGTGAGCTCACCATTTGGCTCTGGACTTTTAAATGTGTTCAAGACACTTTCGATGTAACACGTGCAGAGATGAAGATAGTAATTTAAATGACTGAATGGAACCAGGCAAGACAATTTACCATAATTTCCTCAAAGATAGCCCACCGAAAATCGAGAACAAATGAGGTGAAAACAAGGAGTGGGCCAACATTCGGTGTACAACCAAGAAAAGTTTTAGATCATGCTTTCCTGCCAAACTTGTTATTGTGGCAAGGAACAATAAAGCAAAGATGACTGTACCTCCCAGTCAGCAATGTTCACTTAAATTCCGCCATAGCTACCTAGTCGCATTTACGCCGAGGTCATCATTGACCCAGCCCTATGATTACTAGGAGTGGGCTATCTTTCGGTGTTTAAAAGAAAATAACAAATCAAGCTAAAAATAGGGGTGAGTTATCTTTTGGGGTTTGGGCATCTCTTGGGATATTATGGTAGGTCTTTTTTTCTTGTGATTCAGATCTGTCAGCTTGCTTTTAACATGGTCTGAACAACCTACAGAGTTTCATATTACACTAAGTACTAGCAAGCAAGTCACTCGGTTTTATGAGAAAGAGCTAGCGTAAAGTGGTGCAGTTTCTTGAGTGTCGCGCTGCACCTGCCATTGTTCTTCTGAACATGACATAAACCCCGAGACTGCAGGCAAAAACGACACAAACGCTAAAAGGTCTCGAGACATTTTAGTGCTTTGTGTCCTTTTTTTGCCTGCAGTCTCGGGGTTTATGTCGCGTTCACTCTGAAGCAGCAAGTTTGCGCCCTTACATTCACTTCATTGTTCTCCTGTCTGCAGAGGAGCGTGACTGGCGGCTTGGGGTCTGCCCAAGCCGAGATCATGGCTGACACGGCTGTGGCCCTGGCATCTTCCAACGTGCAGCTGGTTGCCATGAAAGTGATCAGCCGGCTTTGCAGGGTCAGTAACCACCCCCTCCTGGGCTTTTTTTTTTGGCTTTTCTGGTATTGTGCGTACAATGATGTGAACATTGATTTGAATTCAGTTGTGGTATGTATGTTGGCAGGAGCTTAAGGCTTTTGTTATTCTTTATTTCCTCTCAAAATCATTGTTCTGGTGGGGATTCAGAACTAAAAAGATGTCCGTGTAGTGTGCACTTCATGGTATATACCGTGCGTTTGGCAAGCCCATATGTTCCATCGCGCTTCAAACCATTTGTTGATCCGAAAAAGCCGTTGGCTTTTCTTTGTTCGAAAGTATGGAACAGTGGTAACTTGAAATGAACGAGCACGCCTTTGAACAAGAACTTTGGTTCATTCTCACTGCTTTGCCAGTCACTTGATACTTTTGTAATTATAAGTCATTACCTACTCCCTCAATAATTGATTCATAGAACTCTCAGTATGGAGTGATCATCTCCATTAGGCATTTAGGCTTCAACACCATTGCTCACGTGCCTCTGAGCCAGCCTCAGACGGTTGTACGAGTAGGACCTTCTTTTGTGCCTGTGCAGGTGATAGAGAAGACGTGCACGTCACCCACGCCCACCCTGGAGCAGCACCTTATGTGGGACGACATTGCTATCTTGGCACGCTACCTTCTCATGCTCTCCTTCAACAACTCCCTCGACGGTACGCTCTTCTTTCCTTCCCACTAGCAAAACATTATTTTCGGGGCTAGAAATGTACTGTTTTCGTCACATTGCGCGGCATTGCATTATATTAAAAACATTAGTTATTGAGTCGCCTCTGCTCGATTGCTTAATAAAAGTATTGAACGCAGCCTAAATGATCCTCGAGGGCACTATGCATTGCTAATTTTGGAATCTTGCTCATCTTCAATTTTGCTCTGCCGTTTCCGGGGTCAACAGCCTGCGGTTATCGATGGTCTACCGTTGCGTCTTCAAAATATTGAAGATACGATGAGGACACCCGCATTTTAAAGACAAAAATTAATTTGTGCAGAGGGCGGCATTTTGCACCTCACAACAGTCGACGTCTTGACGAGCGTGAGCAACTAAAATTTTTTCGAAGCCCGCTTTCGGAGGCTTTTGTCGCTGAAATCGGGTCCCGTCCTCGCCGCCAGGTATAATAACTCGGCCCGAGCCCATGGCTGGGCCGAGTTATTATACTTGGCGTTGGGCAAACGGAGCGAGATGAGGGCATACATGCTACAGACCCCTTGAGTCAGGTGCACTCCTTTTATCGGTACAAACGATGGCACCCTCGCATGTACAGGTAATGTTGCTGGTTATCATACTATAGTCGTCGACAGGATGAGAAGAGAGAGGATTCTCAGTTGTCTTGCCTCCAGCACGAGCGTAAGGCAACGAGCATGTGCTGAAAGCAAAGCGTTTGAAAGACACACTTTGCCATTCTCACTTTGTCGGTGACCGTAGCATTTCACCCCTCCGTTGGCCTCGACGGCCGTTTGTGAGCCATTTTCCTGACAGTCTCTGCTCGCATGTGTGCGTTGTGCAGTGGCCAGTCACCTCCCCTACCTTTTCCACATTGTGACCCTGCTGGTACACACCGGTCCGGTGTCCCTGAGGGCCTCCATCCACGGCCTGGTCATCAATATCATCCACTCCCTGTGCACCTGCACCAAGCCCTCCTTCAATGGTGAGACTCTGTCCCGGGACCTTCTTGCGTTACTCTGCAACGAGGGGAAACGGCGCAGCTCTGCCCTGGCGCACTTTCGGTCCATGGTTTTAATTGCCGCTTGGACGTCGTGCTGCTGTCGACTTTGGCACTGATTGAGACAGTCCGGTTCTGCTGGATCTCTCTTGGTGCCTGCGCTGTTAGTTAACAAAACTCTGGTAGGGATTAGATTTTTGAACGGGGCAATATTCAGTTACCCTAGACACTCAATGTATCGCACATTTTTAGGTTTCTACGGTTGGTTGCCAACCTCTTCGCTGAAACTATATTGACTGGAGTCCTGTCAGACTTGAAGCCATTATTTGTTTATAGCTTGACTTATCAGAATTCTAGGTAACAGTGCAATTTTCTTATCTTTATGTGTCTGGTGGTTACTGATCAGTGTCATTCTGTGGAGCAGTCCCAGTGCTTAAAGAACTCAAGTTATGCATTGTGAGGATCCTTAAAAATGTAATCTTAATGAAAATAATGGTCTATACATTTTATGTTACATTCTGTCACATTATTTTTTTACGCAATGTCTGCATACTACATTGCGCAAGATATAGCAATTTAAAGTGTGTGCACGATAAAGAAGAGGAAATATCTGGCACGTCATAAAGATTTGAGAAACGTTGAGGCTTCTGATAATAACCATCATCAAATGTGTCCCTACAAAGGAATGATTAGCATTATTAAGCTACTACTCAAGATTTTCAGCTATGTATATTCTGGCTTCCTAATGCAGAATATGTACAGTATGTGCTCTAGACAATTTCAGCTCGCTGTGCTTGCACCCCATCGTGCCGCGCATATGCGGAGTAGCAGTACACACTCCTTCATATTTGCACCCTCTTCAAAGTACCTGACGACCTTGACTGATATCCTAGGGGTCGGCCTTGAGATCACCCTAGAGGTCGTCCTAGAGGCTGTCTTAGATGTCGTCCTTGACATCGTCCTCTAGGACGTCATCCTTGAGGTCTTCCTAGAGGTCGTTCTAGATGTCGTCTTTGACGTCTTCCTCGACATCGTCCCAGGCTACGTCAAGGTCAACGTCTAGGACAATCTCAAGGACAACCTTAAGGATGACCTCTAGGGTGATCTCAGGATGACAAGGATTTAGCGTCGTCCTAGAGGATGATGCTAAATTTAGCGGGGAGTTCCCCTGCTAACTTTAGTGGAAAAATTGATGTCACCACCTATGCACCAATTCTTTTTCCCCGCTAAATTTGGTAGTGTGCAACGATAAATGCTATTGCATTCATAGATCATCACCCTTGTGGTTTCTGTGAATTTGCTTCAACCATCAATTTTCATTGCGAAGGGTCAAGTAGGCTGATTGGAAACACTTTAATTAGTCGCCTAGAGTCACGTGACTAGATCGCCTCAAATGTTTAACTGCAGTGATGTGATTGCTGTGCCAATTGTGCCAAACTGTGCCAAGGGGCTAACTCTGCTACATCCTGCTACATTTTGCCGAAATGTGGGTAATCTGTGCCAAGCCTGCGACAAAAAACCAGTTTCGGTCGCCTTTCAAAACCGAAACTAAACTGAGCACCGTAATTGAGCATGCGTGTGTTATGTGGCGCAAGTGGCCGACCGACACAAAGTACCCGGCATCAATTGTCCATCCGGTCCTGCATGTTTTCCCGCCATCTGACGTTTCGCGCTCTCGTCATCTCGTGGGTCTCGTCTTGCAAACTTTTTTTTTTCTTTTTTTAAGGGGGGACATGGTCTGAGAGGGTCAACTTTTGAACCAATGTCTCAAATTGATTCAAACTTTTAGGGTGAAATGAACCCCATTAGGATTGATGACATTTAAAGTTTCAGTCTTAACGGCCAACTCTACAACATACTATGCTTAACAAACTCCAGAAAAAAGTTACTTTATTAGGAAATGTATTTAAGAAAAATAATAATTGCAATCCACAAAATGTTTGGTTTAATGTGAAGTAGAATACCCATAGTGCAAGTTAAGGTAAAAATTGATTGTAGAAAATTCAATTCTAGAGAAAAACAATAACACCCAAAAAGAACAAACGAGTTTAACAAATTTTTGAGCTTTAAAATATTCAGGTTTTTTTCATGAAGAATTCAGCTTTTTCAGATTATGAGTACCTTAACTTGTTCCTCAGGAAATTTCAGTCAAGGACAACACCGAATGAAATCTTTACACTTTCAAAATGTCCAATGATACATTTCCTCATACCGCATTTCCTGTCAAAAAGTGAAACGGAGAAAAATGCATTTGAAGTTTCAACTTTAGGTTTCTCTCTTTTCTGTGACTCCGAGGTAGCCAAAATTCACCTGGCGCATTGTTAGAACCTTCCTCTTTGACACTTTATTGTTCCCCTGGCAATAGCTACCAATTTACGTCGTTTGTAGGCAAGCTAACTTTCGTAGCAGGCATTTCTTGACAGATAAAATGGCAAGAACTAAGAGGCAAATAATACTAAGGAAGAGCAGCAAAGCAGAAATATGATCTAGAGTGGAAGATACTGTGAAGGGGTGTTACTGAAGATGGCACAATATCACGTCACAGGGCAGGACCAATCGTAAATCCCGTTTCAGGTCGACAACTAATAAGATTGCTCATACCAAATTTTTACAATTTTTTCTGTTTGGATGTATAGGGTTCTCCTGGCCATTGATACTTTTAAACTTGAAAAGCTTCTACGGGCTAAATCCAGAGTAAATGGTGCTTCCAATGAGGGTGAGATTGTTCTGGCTATGTTAAAATAGTATGAAGCAGTGCTAAATAAATATGCAAAAAACTTGCTCCCTGCTGAGTCGGAGGGCTGCCGATATGTCGAAAATAATTTATTGTGAGATAAATCCTGCATGTTTATAAATGAAAGTTTCTGAAACCATTCTTTGGAAGTTAATAAGCATAAACATATAATTTTTTAAAAAAACATTTTTTTCTGACGTGATAAATGATAAGCATGTAGCACTCCCTGCATGCATTTCTCGGTAAAGATTGCGGTTGCATAAGCTGCTGCGGCAACGGCAGCATATGAAGTCTTTCATATATAAATATAAATGTTTTGGTACTGTGCATTTACTTTTCTTTCGTCAATCATTTGGTATAGACCCTTTTGGTGTTTGCAAACATGAATTGTTGCTTGCATCCCAAGCGACTTCCAGTCGGATCTTCTTTGCAAGCCTCTTGAGCTTGCTTATAGTCACCAGTGCTAGAAAGCATAAATGCTACTCAGACAGCAAAGTTGGAGATTTAACGAAGGCCTTCTGCTATACAATATTACATCTTGGAAGAGGGAAGTTGGTTTACAAGAATACCTACTCGAAGCATTTTAACAGATCTTGCACTCCTTTGTTCTTTTGGCTTTCACCTGGAGAATTGGTGGTTAAACGTTTCATCTACATTTCAAGCAGCGGTGTAAAGTGGCCTTTGTTCATTCTGTCTGTAAACCGGAAGTTCTCTAAGACAACAAAGACTGGAGCACCACCTCGTGGCCTTTGCCATAAAAAGGATCTATAGTGTAGTGGGTAATCGCTGCAGGTGATACCTCAGTTTCGCTGGCCAACCACCTTCACAACGTGGATTGGAGCCTTAATGTTTTTTTTTTTTTATCTTTCACCATAAAGTAGTGAAAGATTAAGCGTTATATTGAGAATGCTTCTCAAGTGAAAACCCGGGCCTACGGAAAGCCTAAAGCAACCCTCTTTTGTCGTGCACAGACACGCAGCGCGTGCTGAGGCTGAGCTTGGACGAGTTCTCGCTGGCCAAGTTCTACCTGCTCTTCGGCATCAGCAAGGTGAAGTCGACGGCGGTGACGGCCTTCCGCGCCAACTGCCGGCATGGACTGCTGGACCGGTCCTTTGCCTGCGCCAGCCCCGACCAGGAACGCATGCCTCTCTCCTTCCTCGAGATCATCACAGACGCCCTTCTTGAGATCATGGAGGTGCGTTGGCTTTGTCTCGATCAAGGCACAACACAAACGTGCCCGAGGGGCAGTCATGCTTCATTTACGTGAATATGAGATAAACCTCCCTTATAATGAGGCATGTTTTTCGAGAGCTAGTGGGTATGTGTGATCTTTAATTTTGGTGGTCTTCAAGCAGGCTTCTTGTTGTCACACTTCAGTCCTGCAAGCCTCCGCCAGGCCGTCTTTGGCTCGGCATAATTGTGCTGTGCGACGTAGATACGTCACAGGTGGTGTCTGTGGCTTCTGGTTGCTCTGTCCATGTTGTGTGACATCTCAGGTGTTGGGAGGAGTCACTTCAACCAGAAATAAATTTGTGTCATGTTCCGACTTGAAGTGGGAGTTTATGTAATTATAATTCACGCGTCCGGATCCAAATGAATACAGCAAAACTTAATTTTTGAGATGGTAATTTTTAGGATAGTTCTCCAAAGCCGAGAACTTTGCTAAGCCCATTCTCATTTCGTCACTCCTGTGACATGGCCAGTTGAAATGTAAAATGCGATGTGCAAAGCTGTATCATGCTATATAATCTCTGTAGTTTTCTCTCTTTGGGTAAAGAACAGATGGTGCGTGAACAAGAGGGGGAAGGAGGGAAATGGCACATTGGCATTCGTGCTGTCATGGAATGTTTCTGGACTTTAGTAGCGTTGGGTTAATATTGCGTGTGCTTGTACCTGTGGGGACTTCTCTGGCAACATGGGTTGTTTCGGGTTTTGCAGGCCTGCATGAAGAACCTTCCAAACTGTGACTGGCTTTCTCAGTGGACGGCTTTGGCAAAAAGGTAATGGCACAGCTGCATTTATCAATCATTGCCCAACTTCATTTTGTTTGCAAGCACAGTTTACCAATACCGCTTGATAATTCACTTTCGTTGGGAACTTCACCGAATCATCACAGCCACATTAACGACATAGTAAAAGGAAGAAATTTTCTTTGTTCTGCTTTTACACTTGGATCTCCCATATCCTTGGGAAGGAAGATGAGGACAGGAAAAGTAATGATGGCATTGGCGTTTCAATTATACATAGCTCGTAGCTCTCCTATCTTATGCAAATTCAGGGGTGGAACGGCTGCGCCATTTGCGCCATTTTGCGCCAGACGCATTTGTCTGCGCCATCCTGCGCCATGTTTCGGAAACTGCGCCACAGTCAATACCTCGCGCCATTATGCACCAAATTGGAAAGCGTGCGCCAAAAAAATTGTATTTTGTCTTGGTTTCGGTTTCTATCGACTCGATTGGCAACAATGATCGCGTTTAGCGTGGTCGGCCTTGCAATCCTTTTTTTCTCTTTATTCTCCCTGTGTATCCCGAGTAGGAAGTGTGCGAAAAAAACTCGGGGTTCGGATTCCAAGCGCTACACCACCTGCCTCTGGATTGTTATTCAACCATAAGCGGTTAAACAAGTCGGTCGAGGTAAGGTCGAGTCGTTAAGCGTCAGATTGCCTGAGGCTCCGAAGCCCGGGATCCGGACGTCAGTCAGTTGAAAACAAAGGAGCAAAAGATTCCTTTGAGCACTTCATCGTTAGAAGTTGGAACCGCATTCCTGCAAGATAAATCGTGATTTGATAGATCTGAAACGCAATCCGATCCGAAACCTTGCCGGCCAGCAGCTCTCACGCGAGCGGTAGATCTGCTCGGCATACGTTAACCTTGCTCCTGCTTATCGCTTCGAATACGATAACTCCGTTAATCGTAGTCTGCTGCTTCGATATTGAGTTGCACAATAGGATAAACTTGAATTTTGTTGCGATATTGAGTTGCGCAATATGAGAAACTCGAAATTTGTTTCCCTGTTCTTCCGCGCAACTGCACGTTCGTTGCTTACGCACGTCACGTGGTTCGCACATAAAATCACTCTGTCGAGGACGTGCGGACTGTGCGATAAGCGGTGCTGGTTTGCATTTTGAGCAGCTGAAAGCCACTCAGAAATTACCAAGGCTCACAAAGTTCCAAGTTTTCGCATCTGTTACACTGTTATCCCATCTGCCTAGGTCCCTAACCGCTCATGTTTATCTGGGCTGCTAAGCACAACTGAAATTGCCCCCGTGCTTGTCTAAGACAGAAGCTGGAGTGCAATGAAAACTGATCTGAGCTGCTCCTAGCCTGCTCCAGAGTGTAGTTTTAGCTGCTCCCAACCTGCTCCAAAACAGCTGTTTTAGCTGCTCCCGTGGCTGCTCCCAAGCACATTTCATGAGTTCCACCCCTGAAATTTGTTATCTTGTGATTTCCACGTCTACCGTAAGCTGTTGCAGTTCAAAGGCCACGCAACGCGGGAATTTGCCACAAAACAGACCCTTTCACAAATTTAGTCTGACCACTTTAAACACTGGCACTTGTGTGTATGCCACTCATGTCACACTAATGGTGGCCTTCTTATAACTGACAAAGGAAAAAGTTGAAAATGCCCTTAAACATACACTATGAGGCCTGTGTATTTCGGATATTATTCAAGAGGCCAAATGTTTAGGCGTTAAAAAAAGCATGTTCTAGGCACCAAAACTAGGCAGGCAAAACAATGTTTTAGCATTGTTTTGCATACATGTTTCTAATGTCGTATTTTGTCACCTGCTGTAGACCAGCGTGGGGTACAGATTGGAAACGAGTAGTGTTTTGCGAATATTCAAAATATTGAATAATACACTATTCAATACTCACTTTGAGATGGACTGCGATACAGCCGAGCCCAGTTATACCACGCTTGGGTATTTCAGATTATTGTTTATATCGAACAGTCCAAACATCCCCTTGGAAATTACATGTATTATTATACGAGAACTTTTTTTTTTTTTTTTTTATCAAACTTTTATGGCGGGGACGCTCGATATATAAAACGAAGCCTGGCCACCCGTTGCTTTCCTGTGATCCAATTGCGCCCCGATTGCGCTGGTGGCGAGCATATAGCATATAGCTCGCGTTGCGTGGCCTTTAATTCGATGTACCCAGGCTCGACTGTATTCATATTTTTCAAAGTGTTGATCGCAATGGGCTAGCCCCGTTGAGCGCGCTTCTTTACTGAGCATGGGGAAACTGCAGAAAAGCAACACCCGCGGGAGCAGCAAGCTCCATGGGTGTTACTTTTCCGCAGTGTATCGGTGCTTGTTAAGAAGTGCACTTAATGGGGTAACCCGCAGCGATCAACACCCGGGAAAGTATAAATATCACAATTGCGTGCTTGTGAGAAAAGCACACTTTCAATGTGGGATGGTGCATGCGTGCACCTAGTGTGTTTAGGAAGAAACGGAAACTTTGTGAATGTTGGTATCTACGTTGCAGTAAAGTTTTCCAAAATAATTTGTAGCTATTATGGAAGAGTATGCTTGGCAGAGATGGCCTGACGACCGGCGTTCATCATTTGTGATTCGTTTCTTTTATTTCAAAATCAAGATTGAAGAAATAATATTTGCATATTGCAAGATTTGTAAGTCCAGGTTTGATTTTAATTCAAATTCGTCATTTACTTGCCATTCCAAGGTATTGGACTTTGAGGTCGCACTTCATAAATATAGTAAGATTAAAATTAGCTTATGAATGGACAAGTGGAAACTTAGGAACAACCTTTGCAAGCTTAGCTGGGTTTAATTTAATTAAGCATGGTGCAACAGCACTGAAATACTTGAATTAACTATTCGGTATTCAATTCGAAAATATTCGGCCAAAACCACTATTCGCTTTAAATTCGCTTGGAACTCAAAATACACTATTCACACATTGACCAGAAACGAGTGCTGTGTCAGCACCCGGCAGGGACGTGTGTTGAATCACTAAGATCACGAGTCCCAGCTGAACGAGGAAGCAATGCTCGAGCCCAGTCCGTGCCTGACTCTAAAAATCCGGTAGGCGACCATAGAAACTCCAGCACTACGGCCTCATCATTTTAGGAAGTGTTGGTGGAGACGTCTCGTGTCATATACTTCCTCCTTGCTTTCAGCTTTGCCTTCCGCTACAACCCGGCCCTGCAGCCGCGCGCCCTCATCGTGTTTGGCTGCATCAGCAAGGGGGTGACAGACCAGGAGGCGAAGCAGCTGCTGCGGGTGCTGGTGAAGGCCCTGGAGTCGTTCCAGGACCTGCAGCTGATCGAGGCCATCATCATGGGCCTGACCCGGCTGCAGCCCCTGCTGCGCCTCGAGTCCCCCATCCACCGGGCCCTGTTCTGGGTAGCCATCTCGGTGCTGCAGCTTGACGAGATGGCCCTGTACGCCTCGGGGCTCGCCCTGCTCGAGCAGAACCTACACACCCTTGACTCGCAGGGCATGTTCGAGACGCCCGTGAGCTCCTTCTCTTTCCTCCTCCTAGTGGCTCGATCATCCATTTTGTAGACGCGCGCGAGTATACGAAACTTTTGAATATCGGTGTATTCGGTTCAAACTTTAAATCAAATTGGATCGCAGGGCATGTTCGAGACGTCCAAGAGCTTCTTCCCTCTCTTTGTCCTAGTGGCTCGTTTTGTAGATGTGTGCAGGTATACAAAACTTTCGAATATCAGTGTATTCTATTCGATTCAGGCTTCAAATCAAATTGTATCACAGGGCATGTTCGAGACGCCCGTGAGTTCCCTCCTTTTCCTCCTCCTAGTGGCTTGGTCAGTTTTGTAGATGCGCACGAGTATATGAAACTTTCAAATATCGCTGTATTGACTTCAAACTTCAAATCCAATTGGATTGCTGGGCTTATTCGAGATGCCTGTGAGCTTCTTTCCTTAACTCCTCCTGTGGCTCGATCCATTTTGTAGATGTGCGTGAGTGTACCAAACTTTCGAATATCGGTGTGTTCGATTTAAACTTTAAATCAGATTGGATCGCAGGGCATGTTTGAGACGCCCGTGAGCTTCTTCCCTCTCTTTCTCCTAGTGGCTCGTTTTGTAGATGTGTGCGGGTATACAAAACTTTCGAATATTAGTGTACTCGATTCAAGCTTCAAATCAAATTGGATCGTAGGGCACGTTCGAAACGCCCCCGAGTTCCTTCCGTTTCCTCCTCCTAGTGGCTCGGTCAGTTTTGTAGGCACGCGGGAGTATACGAAACTTTCGAATATCGGTGTATTCCCTTCAAACTTCTAATAAAATTGGATCGCGGGGCAAATTCAAGATGCCCGTGAGCTTCTTCCCTTAACTCCTCCTATGACTCAATCCGTTTTGCAGATGTGTGCGAGCATACACATAACTTTTGAATGTTGGTGTCCTCAATTCAAACTTCAAAATCAAATTTGATCGCAGGGCATGTTCGAGATGCCCGTGAGCTTCTTCCCACTCTTTCCTATTAGTGGCTCGTTTCGTTTTGTAGATGCGTGCGAGAATACAAAACTTTCGAATATCAGTGTATTCGATTCAAGCTTCAAATCAATGTAGATCGCAGGGCATGTTCGAGGCGCCTGTGAGTTCTCTTTCCTCCTCCAAGTGGCTCGATTAGTTTTGCAGACGCACGCTATTATACAAAACCTTCGAGTATCGGTGATTTCGATTCGAACTTCAAATCAAATTGGATCGCAAGGCATGTTCGAGACGCCCGTGAGTTTCTTCCCTACCCTCCTCCTAGTGGCTTGGTCGGTTTTTAAGATGCGTGCGAGTATACAAAACTTTTAAATGTCGGTGTATTCGATTCAAACTTCAAATTAAATTGGATCGCAGGGCATGTTTGAGCGTCCCGTGAGCTTCTTCCCTTTTTCTTCTTCCATTGACTCATTACTTTCTGTACACATGCACAAATATTTGAAACTTTCAAATATTTGTATATTTTATTTGAACTTCAAATCAAATTATGGCATTTGAATTCCTAATTATGTATAGAACAATTATAATTTTCATATTTTAAAAATTTCAGTTTTATTGAGTTTGTTTTTTCTGCACTTCTCCTATGGCACGGGTATGAGGCGAGGAAACAGCAGCTGTGGCTGCACTCCAGAGTCGTAATTTGGTGCTTTTTTGCATTGCATATATTAAAAAAGAGTGCAAAGAGTAGGGTGACCTGACGTCCCGTTTTGACCGGGACAGTCCTATTTTAAATGTGCTTTTCTGCTGTTCCGTCATTTTTTCTCAGTGAAGCCTCGCATCCCGTTTTCGGGGGAACGTGCGTGCATAGTTGCGAAAAGGGTGCTAAGCAAGTGGAAGAAATCTAAAAAAATAGATAATACATTTTATAAAAATAAACAAGCTATAAGAATGTTACCTTCCATAGAGTATATTTAGAGCTCTTTGTATGGTTCCATCTGGCAATAGGTTCTGTTCGCACAGACGCTTGTTTGGGGGACTTTTCTACCGTAAAGTTCCAAAAGAACGCCCACCCAAAATGCAGAGATAAATGGTCAAAAACACATGTTGACCTATCTTTAAAGATGGCACAGCAAAACTTTACCAAAGTTTAATGATAAGCACCCTGGCACTGGCCACAAACCACGTAACTCGGGAACTTGTACCACAGATCGCGGACGCCGCAACTTAGCGTTCCACGATCTGATAAACGTGCGGGAATTCGCTGCAAACTCTTGTGTCATGGGAAAAGATACCGCAGGTTGCGGATGCAGCAGATTCACGTTTCACGGTGTGAAGGACCCACAAAAACCTGCCGGGAACTCGCATCTCACGGGAACGAATACCGCAAATCGCGCATGCAACAGATGCAAGTTTTTTGTGCAATAAACATGCAGGAACCTGCTACATCTGCTACAAACTTTATAGGGGTTTTCATAGATCGTTTTCGCCGTCCCACAACGTTCTCTGCAACCTACTACGATGCCCGGAACTCTACAGTCAAGGCCATTGGCACGCAGGTGCAGTAGCAACTTCTTCGTTGCAGAGGGCTTAGCGGAAAGGGAAACACGGACTACGAAAACTCCTTTATGTCACAGGAACGGATACCGCAGATTGCAGATGCAGCAGATTCACAGCTTGCGGTACCACATACATGCGGGAACAACTGGCGTGTTACAGGAGCCGATATCGCTTGCGCAGATTGCGGACAAAACTGCGGGAACTCGCTATGAACTCGCTTGTCAGACGTGCCGGTGCAGCAAATCGCGCGGGTGATGAGATTCCCGTTGGACATGGCGTGACGTTCGACGAGAATTGGGGGTTGGGCGATGCTTCAGAATTTTTATGTTACAGATATTTAGCCAGAAAAACTGGATGGGCGATCTCTTGGGGGCGTGCGTTCTCTTGGGGCTTTACGATATAATGCTCTATTTGGCATGCTTAAGTTCTGTATAAAAATGAAGAAGAAAGGTGGTTGTACACCCAACTAATTGTGAACTTTGGGAAAGTGTACATTTGTATGGTGAACTGAATAGTAGCAGAGCTTGCTTTGTCTCATTTCGAAAAACATTTTCTCACTTCGATATAAATTTAGATCTGGCTCATTTTCAAAAAAAGAAAACAACCTCCTAATTTTATGAAATAAATGAATGCCAAAATATGTGTGCAGGCTGTCGTCAACCCAGAGCTGCTGCAGTGACAACACCGAACTTGGGAACCCAAAGCTGGGTTCCCAAGAATTCTGAGAATTCCTGGAGAACCCTCGTGGGTTCCATGAGCCCGCAAAAATTCTCGACAGTCCTTGCCCCCGAGTAAAGCGTTTTTCCCCTTTGAATTTTCTTCTAGCAGATCTGAGCCATTCACTGATATGTAACTATTTGCCAAACACTTTGTATTATGAAAAGAGACAGGTGAGATGTGCAAAGTTTGGGAACCAAGGAATGATGATGATGATGACTGTGCAGAAAACCCTGAAGCACATCATGATGAGCACCCGGGAGCCCTTGGAGTGGCACTTCAAGCAGCTGGACCACTCGGTTGGACTCAGCTTCAACTCCAGTTTCCACTTTGCTTTGGTCGGGCACCTCCTTAAAGGTGGGGGCCCCTTTCGCTCGCCGTGCAACTCTGTTGGCTTTGAAGGATGTGCGAGCTGCACTAGGTTGTTGTGAAAGTAGGGGATGGTGGAGATCTTGTAGTTCACGGGGAAAGACGGGGCTCGAGAATTTATATGGAAAACTTCCAGCCTTTCCACTCTGGTGAAGAAGGAGGGCCAGCGAAGCTGTACTATGGTGGGAATGAAGTAATGGCCGACCGCAAGTTGGTAAGCCAGAGTGGAAAGGCTCGAAAGGTTGCTGCCATCTATGAGCGACAGCGGCAACCAGACAACCGGCAAGCCGGTTGTCTGGTTGCCACCATTGTTCATAGATGGCGGTAGCTGTCCAGAGTTTAGTGTCCATTTGTTTGCTGGCAGACACGATCCTGGAAAAACTGGCCCTTAACAGCTCCGCTGTAAAAATTCAGGCCGCAGTGCCGTCAAAATCAAACTTTTTTAAAAGAAAGATGCCCCCCAGTGCCCCGAGAGATGGTCCATTGCAGATGACCCACCTTCCCAACCCTCGAAATTGCGTTACCTTTGTTCGGACAATATGTACGATGGGGTAGGCAATAGGAGTTTTGATACAAATAGCGACCATTCTTTTGACAGCATGGAGGGATGTAGGCTGGAGCGTACAAGAAACCAAGCTAATAATATGACATTTTTTCTCTTGACTTTTTTTTTTTTTTAGTTGAATGCCAAAATTTAGGGCACCATCTGTTTTACATTATTTGGCCCCTAGGGGGTTATAACTATAATCGTTCATTAGACGGAAAAGATTTTGTTGTCTGCGAGAGCGAATTCGAATCGAATCAGGCCGAATCACTTAGGCCTGTTGGCGTACGACAGTGAAACGCGTCATTAGGTATGCCCCGGTCATTTTAAAGCCCAAGTGCCTGAAAATACCTTTAATGTTTTTTTTTATGTTTCTTTTCCTTGGCATGCATGTTTTCGTTCTAGTGGCTGACACTGGTTGGCCGTGACTCGGCAATATTTCCGTTGTTTCAGGCTTCCGGCACCCCACGGCCACGACTGTGTCGCGGACCGCACGGGTCTTGAGCATGCTTCTGGGCATTGTGGCGAAGCCACACAAAAGGTAGGTTGGCACCTTGGTCCTTCGGCGGTCAATTTGGTGCTGCACCATCACTGCACTTGTCATTGGTACAGTGTTCTAGAAGGGGGAGTAGTGGCAAAAGCAAAGCAAACATTGATGGGAGACGCTACACTGAAAAAAGCGGACGGCCGCCTGTTTTGCTGCAGTTGACAACTGGAGGAGAAAACGGCCGTGTCGGTTGGTTCTTCTTGCGTTAGCAGCCATCAGGGGCTCTTGGCGGACGCCACTTGTCCAAATGATTGGATGTTTGGATGTGCTGATCACTCCAAAGCATCACCTGCTGAAGTGATGGCATTTTATGTGGCCACTAGGCTGCATTTCTTTGTTAAGTCACTCAATTGTGCCTAAGTACGGCAGCATGAAGCGGCAAAATACCCGAAGCTCAATCAGTCAATCCGTGTAGCTTTTTCGCCCAGTTTTGTTTTCGGAAGTATCTGTTACTTTCAGTACCTTCAGCGAATTCTGCGCTGAGAAAAGAGTGTTTGCGTCAGGCAAACACCATGTTAACACACACACACAGACACACACACATCACTCCGTTTTATAGTATGCATAAAGTCGGATGCAGCTCTGAATGTACATGTTTTTAAGATAGTTTCTTTTTTTATGGTGCATGTGAGGCAGAGCTTTCTGGCTCAATATAATCTTCATGAAGAATTAAGCCATTTTCTTGAACCGTTGGAAAGTGAAATTGTTGGAATTTTTCCCCCTTATTTATTTGGTCATGTTCTTAGCAGCATTTATTTCTAAGTCGAAATAAATGTGTGTTTTTTATAGTCAATGAGGAAAAAAATCGGGATATCTTTTTAATAAAATAAATCAGATTTTTTTATTTGAATCAAACTTACGTGAATTAAATCTCTTCAGCTAGAAATTAGTGACTTTTTTTTTCTAGATTTGTGTGTGTGTTTTTTAATGGATGCCTGATATAAATATTTTCTGCTTGATTATTATTTACTTCAAATACAAAACAAATACTCATGGGAACCACACTGATAGTCAAACAATAAATTCAAAAATGTTTTCAGTATTGTTTTGGGGAAAAGTGTATGATTTAATTTATTATCGCCAAATCGGTGCGGCTTAAATCCTTATAAAGACAAATTGGTGCAATTGAAATAATGATTCAAATCAAGATTTAAATTAACTGGATTTTTGTTATCCACCCTGTTGTGGTACATTTATATCAAATCATGTAATGGAATTCACTGTTGTTTTCTTGCTATGGCAAAACAAGGAAGGAAGTGTTTTCATTGGGAGTTATGGCTGCAGATTGGTAGAATAAATTTAAGAACATAATCAATAAACTTCTGCATATTTGAACTGTGAGCTGCTATGGAAATCAGGCAAAGCTTGAATTTCTTTCCCCAACTTGCAAGCCAGTCCGCCAGTAAAGGGCACAACACTAAAGTAATTTTAATGGATCAGTAGTTTTTATTTATCGGGCAGAAGTAAACTGAAGAAAAATACCAACCGTGTTTTTCTCTCCGCAACAATAAACTGCCCATCACCGAACCCTCAATCTACATCGGAATGGAAAGCTAGCCGTTGGGATCTGATTTCCTAACTGAGCGTATAAACTTCAAGAATGCATGAGCGTGAATAGCGTCTGCTTCTAGGAGTGGACCATTTTTTCATAGAAAATTTCTGGACATTGCTCATAACTCATATAGCGTCTAATTCTGAATCTTAGCACCGTCTCTGAATCTCTGGAGCTACATTCGGGTGGAGACTGAGCTCACTGAGCTTTGCCTATAGTTTATTTTTGTTGTGGCTGCATAGGCGTGTACTGTTTCAAGCTTGCCACTTGTGTCGTGCTGAACACAGAGACACACGTCGCCACTGCATGACACCTTCTAAGCATTTGCAACACTCTTCCGTTCAGTGTGACGACCGCAGAGCTGATAAAATGGTATTTAAAATGGTGTGCTGTCATAAAAACATCACTATAGTCGGTCACAGGTCAAGAACGAAGTGGAAGCTCCTCCCACCTCTCTCCACTTTAGTAGAGCGAACGCTGGAGAGGAGGCGACCTCCTCTCCTCGGTTCGCTCCGTTGAAGTGGAAAGGGGTGAAAGGAGCTTCCACTTCGTTCTTGACCTGTCGCCGACTATAGGTAGGGCTGCGAGCAAGTAGCCGACGACCCATCTTGCCAGAGCCACTGCTCGAGGAAACTATGCCAGCACCACACAGTGGCATCCGCTTTGAAGGCCTCACGGAGGACACACCACATTTGCCTCTGCACCCCTTCTAGAACACTGTATCATTGGCAAGGCGGCTGTGCTGATGACCCTAATGTTCATTCAGTGTTACTTTGCCTTAGTTGGAACTTGATTGCCACATAATCATATTTCACATTGTTCGTGCTATGAAAAATTTTGCTTTTAACTTTTTTAAGAGCTCTCCTTGGAAGTAATGCTCTTTAATTGGGCCTTTTGTTTTAGATTCAATAGGCCATCCTTGATACTGTTTGAAACTAAAAATGGTCGGTACTGTCAAGACTGGTTGTTACGAAGTCGGTTATAACGAAATAGCGGCTACAGCGAAGCGATCACGCTTTCCCACTCCCCTTTGCACTTCGTTACCCAAAGTCGGTTATAACGAAATAGCGGATATAGTGAAGTGATTTCCGATTCCCGTCTACTTTGTTATAAGAGGTCTCAGCAGTAGTAGCAGGTATAACTTCGAACTTGAGAGAGGGTGTGGACTGGTTGCAGATAAAATTGCTATTTAGTATTTGTGTAAGCTTTAGAGGGTCCACCAGACCAAAGACACAAATGGTTTGCAATATATCTGCTATAGAAGCATAACTTTGGAGGATCTCTTTTTTAATTGAAAATATAAAAAAAAAAGGAAAGGAGAAGTCCGAACTCCTGTGTTGTGAGCAGATTTTTTTTATGCTGTGTGCTAAAGTTGGGGAAGCTAACAAGGTTTATATTTTGTTTCTGTTTTCCTTGCAGAGACAAGTTCGAAGTGAGCCCTGAGAGTGTGGCATATCTTGCAGGTAAGTGCATTTGCGACACTTCAGTTCTCGCTGAAAACCATTGATCTTGACCCATGTGTTGCAGACCTTTTTTAACGTAATATTTAAGGGGCACTGACAGGTCCAAATCATATTTATTTTTATTATCTGAAGCACTTGAAAACAATGCCTGGACATTACCCTCAAAATTTGAAATTTGGGAACTCAGTATTTGTAAAGTGAAAAAACAATTTCCAAAAGCAGAATTTGAAGTTCCCCCACGATCCTCACAGGTGCAGTGACGTCAAAGATTGAGTTGTCCTGCAACTCGAGTTTCTCTCACACCTCCGTGTCGTGTTCGCCCGTGTTCCGCGATCAACCGCTCCGTGTGTGCCGCCTATCGCTGTGAGGAGACGACGGTTCACTTTCTAGTTTGAAGTTCTTTTAGGGCTCTTTCAGCAATCTCAAATTCTTTGAAACGGTATGAGGTCCAAGAGAAAGCGCAGTGGACTTCTGTGAGTGACGCGAGGGGCCACGTCGTTCCGGTTCTGCGTGAAAGGCTGCCCCAGCGGAGTCGCAACCGAAATTATGGTACACAGACACCAAACCCAGTTGTTTTGACCACTTGACGACTTCCTTTTTGAAGTCTGAGAGGTCGTCGGGCACCTAAAAAAGAGAACTTCGTCTGATCCCCCACTCACCGATCATCCTCAGTGCTGTGTGCATCGAGCGCCGCCATGTTTTTTGGGGGAGGATAAAAAGCCAGAAGGCGACATCACTTCAAACTCCGATTTTCGTTATTTCAAAAAGAAGGGCGTAGTGCATTCGCAGTTGCGTTAAAAAAACATGTTTTACAAATGCTGTTATTAAATATTATAGCATGGTCGCTTATAAAGCTTCTAAATTTCATAATCGAGTACGCCACAAGTAAAAAAAAGCGAGGAGGTGAGGGGCAGGAGAGAAGGGTGCCAAAAATAAAAAGGGTGCGTGCGCTTGGGGAAATTTTTTTTTTTGTGTGTTCTGGTATTTTTTTGCATGTTTGTGACTACAACTTGCTTCATTTTTGACAACAAAAACACATACAAACTTATGGGTGTCAGTGCCTCTTTAAAGCTTTGCTTTATTCTATACTTGCGTGACAAAGCCGTTTCTACGTCCATGCAATCGGGAAACCAACATCATAGATTCTCTGAATTTCAAAGAAATAGGGAAGCTTGGTAACATGAGAGGCTAGCAAACAGTCCCTTGACATAGAATCTCAATTTTTGATTTATGCAAAAAAAACTATAACACGAAGGAAAAATAGATGTTCACCTATCATGGTTGCTTCTTCAGTACAAAGTAACTAGAGTTGAAAAACGGAAACTCTAAATTGCAATGGTCTAACCACCCTTCAAGTGCTGCGGGAAAATGGCACCCTCATCACTGCCCCGCAAACACTGCCTTGCCGCACGCAGCACACCTAGCTGAGGGAGAAAAGCACTCAGCAAAGCTAAAATACCCATTGTAAACGATTTATAAGAATGTAACCATAATCATTCTGAACTAGACCAAATTTAATATGCCTATTTGATTCCAAGTATTAATATCGGTGTTAGAAACTTAAAAGCATCTGCACCCGTATGACCAATAACAAAGCAAAAGGGTGATTGACTCCCGACAGGCATGGTTGGAAGGCCGAGCTGTCACGTGTGTTGTTCCCTCGCAGCACTGGTGTCGGTGTCGGAGGAAGTGCGCAGCCGGTGCCATTTGAAGCACCGGGTGGCGACGCGGGTGGCTTCGGAGGTGCTGGCACGCACCCCGCCCAGCCCGGTGCCGCCTTCCTCCTCCGCCTCCACGGGCTCCGTGGCCGGCGGGGCGGGGCCCCCCGCGGGCACACCCCTTGGGGGCGCGGCCCTGGGCCCCTCCCCCCAGGGTGGCGGGGCCCCGGCCTCCTCACCCCTGGGCAGCAGTCACCAGCTGCACCCTCTCGGGGCGGCAGGGGGCGCACCCTGTGCCCCCGGTCGCCGGCAGAAGTCCTGGGACCTCCTGGACCAGAATGCCCTGGCACAGGCCAGGCTGGTCAAGCAGGGGCCCCAGCAGCAAGGACAACAGGTGAACAGATCCTTTGTTTCTTGGTGCACGGCGGTAGTGTAGGCTTCCTTTGCCGTGCCTTGTGGTGCGTTATATGTTTTTTTTCTGCTTTTGTTCAAGCCTAATGTCATTTTCACTTTCATGCATTGTTCTTAGTCTCGCCGCTTGCCTGTCAGTTAAGACTTCATTAGGCCGTGGTGACCACGAATACACAGGGTGCCCAATTTTTACCAAGTTTCTGATGGCTTTCTCAGGTGCATGTGGAACTCACGGAGTTCCAAACGCAGAAAAGACTAGAAACAGGAACCAGACGGCCACTCTTGGCTCTGCTTTATTGCAAGAAGACTAGGAAGCTCGTCAACAGCACTTGAAAGTCGTTCGCATCGCTCGTCATGTGCCAGTGCTTGGGGTATAGCGACGAAGCTAGCAGTGGCGAGTTTATTGAAAATTAAAGGGGGATGATTCTTGCGGAAGCGTTCGAAGTAGGCAGAATGGGGAGAGGGCTTAAGGGGGGACGCGGGTCCTAAAAATGCAAAAAAGTTCTTTTTTCAAAAATCCCGTATTTGGGTGCCTTACATATCCAGGCACCTCTGTCCGAAATATTATAGCGTAATTCAAACTCAAAGTATAAAAAAAAAACGATAATTACGTCGCGCGGAACGCGCCCAAAATCTTCCCGAAAGAGGAAACCGACGTCGAAATGCGCGCCCTCCGCGCTCCGCCGGTGCGCGCCCGTTCGCGGCAATTTTGGTCTCGTTCGAAAGCTTGCTTCTTTGTCTACATTTTTGGCGCCACTAAAAATGGCGTCCACCCGGGGAAAGCACAGAATACCGCGTTTCCCCGGAGAAAGAAACCGAGCTAGCGATTGGCTAAGGAGCACGGGCCGCAGCGAGCGCTGTCGCTATTGGCCGAAACGCATGCCTCCTCTCCTGAAATATGTCATTCTCCTCTCCCTCCTCTCCTTCCTCGCGGCGCGGAAGGAGCCAAGACGCCAAGAGGTCCAGCAACGCAGTTGAGATCGTTGTTTGTCGTCTGCTAGCGGTTGCGTTTTGGCTTCAAGCACGTTATTTTTCGGCGTCCGCCTGCTTCGTTTAGCACGACGTCTTTAGGAGACATCGGTAGCGATCGCGATGCCTAGCGTGAAGCGTTCAACGCAGCGTGCGTACGGCAAGCGGAAGCGTCGGGCGTGGAACAAGACGACTTCGCTCGCATCGCCAGCCGCGTTGCTTGAGACGGACATGCGGCAAGTTCAGCTGCCAGCAGCTACATCGTCTTCCGTGATGCCCGCCCCTGATGTGAGCAATGAAGGAGACGACGGCTTCGGCCCTGGTCCGTCACGACTCGACTCGCATTTCTACACGGCAAGCGAAACTGCCCAACGTGCGGCGCGGGCTGACGAGTTGAAGAAGGATTTGGCCGCGAAGTCTGCCACGCAACGGAAGTTCGACCTCCTCAATGTCTCGGTCGAGGATGAAGAGACAGATTCCGGCACGCAGTTCGTGATCGTCGATTTGAACGTGCTGAACATGTTCTTCGCGAGCACCAAATGTGGGCAGTGCGGATTGGCCGCGCCTACGCTCGAGAAAGCCAAGGAGAAAGAGTACGGGCTGGCTGTGAAGTTGGTGCTGACGTGCCCGTCGTGCGGCTTCTGCGAGAAGCATTTTTCGTCGCCCAGAACTCAAGGGGAGGCACGGATTACGCCTTTTGAGCTCAACATGAGAGCTGTGAAAGGGATTCAGTCCATTGGAAAAGGGTCCACTGCGCTCTCCGACTTCTGCGCGGCCTTGAACGTTTCTCACAGAGGCCTTCACCATAAGACGTTCCAGCACCACTTGCCGACAGTGATGCAAGCCTGTGAGCTGTCAGCAGCAGCTTGTGAAGCAGGAAGTGTTGAAGCTGTGAGGACCCTCTATGCAGACTTTCTGAACCTTCCGAACAACATTGACGTCATGTATGATGGCACCTGGAAGACGCGGGGTCGCACGTCTCACATTGGTGTGGGCTGCATCGTGGAGCTATACACCGGCCTGGTGATCGACCACATCGTCCTCTGCAACCTCTGCTTGGGATGTTCACTTGGCCCAAAGCCCGAAGAGGAAAGCTACAGTGCGTGGTTGGCCGAGCACAAGCCAGACTGCAAAAAGAACATAGACTGCAAGTCGGGGCGAATGGAGGTGGAGGCAGCACTCATCATGTTCAGAAGGTCCTTTGAGAAGCATGGTCTGCGCTACACAACGGTCCTCTCTGACGGAGACAGCAGGACGCATCATGCTCTTACAGATGAAGCTGTCTACGGGTTCGTGGATATTGAAAAGAAGGACTGCCTCAACCATGTCCACAAGAGGATGGGATCAGCCTTGCGGACGCTTGTTGACAAAAAAAAGGCTCAAGGCGAGGTGCTCGGAGGAAAGGGCAGGCTGACACAAGACAGGATAAAAAAGATAACCAACTACTATGGTTATGCCCTTCGGAGCCACAGCCACGACGTACCTGCGATGCAGAAAGCTGTGCAAGCCACCCTTCGCCACATGTCGTCCACCGACGAGTCTCCCGACCACGACCTCTGCCCCGAGGGAGCCAGCTCATGGTGTTTTTACAACAGAGCAGTTGCCAACAACGAGCAACCCCGTGGCCACAAGAACGCCCTCCCAGGCTTTGTTCAAGAAGCACTGGAACCAGTGTTTGCCAGGCTTAGCAACAAGGACTTGCTCCAGCGGTGCAGTGATGGCAAGACGCAGAACCCGAGTGAAAGCCTGCACTCCGTCATCTGGGCACAGGTCTCGAAGAACACCCATGCATCACTGTACAGTGTACAGAGGGCTGTTGCTGAAGCTGTGAGCGTCTTCAACCAGGGAGTGAGGAAGACAAACGAGAGCGTAGCTAGCAGCCTGGGCTACACGGCTGGCACTGCCCTCGTCAGGAGGAGCACCGAGAAGGACAGTCGGAGGCTGCACAAGGCTAACAAAGAGTTCTCTGATGCTGACAGCATGAAGAAGAGACTCTCCACAAGGCACAGGGCAGGCACAGACCAGGATTATAGTCCTGGGCTTCTCTGAGAGTCAGGCACGCCCATCGCCCATTCACAAGCTGGTGTTTTGAAGACGCCCCCTAAAAAAGCCCTTCTCAGGGCTAACCAATTGTTGCATATCGGGCTGTCTTTCCCTACCCGTGTCTCTCCCTTAGTATGAAATTCAAACCAAGGGCATTCCACCCATCTAAAGCTTCAATGTTGTTACTTTTGCATACCCGAACTTCAAAGTCTTTTTTCTCAGCTTTGTTTTTTTCATTAAAATCATCTGGTGGGCTAGTTGGCTAAACATAATGAGAAAATTAGCGCAAATACAAGGAAGGAAGAACGTTAGGACAGGAAAGAGCGCTACTTACAACTGGCTTTAATTATAAGGTGAAAAAAGAAAAAGAAAACAAAACCCGGAGAGGGGAACAAAGTACTGACAAAAAAGAAGTGATACAGAGAGCGAAAATAATTAAGGTGAAAATACAAATTAAAATAATAAAATAATAAAATAGAATAAAATAAAATAAAGGCAGATCTGCAGAATCGCATCGGCAAATGCGCAGGCAGCAGCACTAGCAGCACACACACGAGACACCGGCAAACCCTTTGCGAGCATGAAGAGGCGAACTGCTGCCGGTGACCATCCCGCAGATCTATTGGTCACACATGAGTCACCTGCAGTAGCCGCACACACACACACACGGGACACCGGCAAATTCTTCCAGCATGAAGTGGCGACACTGTTGCCGGTAACCAAGCAGCAGGACGCAAATATCAGGGGCACGTGTCGAGGTATCTCAGCTCTTTCTCTGAAAGGAAGACTGACGGGGCACTAACACATTTGCTTTCTTCTTTCTTGATCTTGTACGCTTCATAGATTTCTCTAGCTCTTTTGTCATTGAGATGTTTTAACACCTTCGTCTGATTAAACAAAGGGGTACAATGACAGTCACGAACATGCACCGCAAGATGTCCAGATGGAGAGGCTTTCAGTGAGAGGTCATGCTCTCTCAATCTAACATTGATGCAGCGACCCGACTGCCCCACATAGACCTTTCCACAGGAAAAAGGTACTTCATAAACGACATGACTCTTACAGTCCACGTACTTATGTTGGTGTCTTGTTTGGCATTGAACATTTTCTTCTTTTGTGTTGTTTATTCTTGGGCAAAGTTTTTTGAGCTTGTCCGGTGCTGAAAGTGCTACCTGTACATCATACTTGGAGGCTACTCTCTTGAGATTGTGTGCCAAGCAATGGATATAGGGAACAATAGCAGGACGCCGTGTCTTTTCTGATTTTCGTTGTCTTTTCTGTGACGTGAGCAGACGTTCTGCAACATCAAATAAGATTGAGTCAGGAAAACCTGAACACCTCAGTCGGTGAACTTGAGCGTCAAAGCTCTCCCCCGCTGAATGCGGACATGACTTTTTAAGAGCCGTGCTGAAGCATCCAGTGACAATAGCTCTCTTGATGAGTTTAGAATGAGCAGAGTCATACGGTAAAAGTCGTTTCTTGGAGCGTGGGGAATACATCCAACAGGTGTGGTCTTGCAGGAACGACAGTCTCAAATCCAGAAACTGGAGGGTGGCATTCTCCGGTGATTCATCAGTGAACTTAAGACCCTCTGCATGCTCGATGAAGGTGGATCGTATGTGGCTCAAAAACTGCTTCTCGTTGCTAACAGGTCGTTGTTTAAGGAGATTACCTTGTCCTCCTTAAACAACGACCTGTTAGCAACGAGAAGCAGTTTTTGAGCCACATACGATCCACCTTCATCGAGCATGCAGAGGGTCTTAAGTTCACTGATGAATCACCGGAGAATGCCACCCTCCAGTTTCTGGATTTGAGACTGTCGTTCCTGCAAGACCACACCTGTTGGATGTATTCCCCACGCTCCAAGAAACGACTTTTACCGTATGACTCTGCTCATTCTAAACTCATCAAGAGAGCTATTGTCACTGGATGCTTCAGCACGGCTCTTAAAAAGTCATGTCCGCATTCAGC